TTGGCGCGCACGCAGTACTCCCAGCGCACGTCGGCGTCCTGCACGTAGCGCGCCAGGTCCTGGAAGAGCTGGCGGAAGGACATGCGCGCGGCTCGGTGGATGGTGTAGTAGAGCAGCGCAGCGCGCCAGAGGAAGGGCTGCTTCCGGAACAGCACGCTGTGCAGGCTGGCCAGGCCCTCCTCGGTGGGGTTCGCCGGCCGCAGCCCGTACTGCAGGCGGCCCTCGGCGCTGTGCCAGGGCTGCCGCGCGTTGTTCACGCCCCGCAGGTAGTGGGTGCCTGGGGGGCGGGGGGGAGGCGGCGCTGGGCGGAGCATCCAGGGGACCCACCAGCCTGCCCCTGCCCTGCTCCACCCAGCTGGACCTCACGTATCCTCATGGCCCTAAACTCAAGCTCTCACACAAGTTCTTTCCCCGCATCCACTCCCCTTCCCAGAAAAACGCATACTCACCCAACCCCAGGCAGCATGAAGACCCTCCTCAGGTGAACTCACACCCAAGGACCCAGAGGCTCACACGGAGAATCCACACCCGTCCAGGGCTACACACACATACACAACTCTCCCAAACTCACAGTGCCCCCAGCCCCCCGAAGAGGAGCAGGAACTCACACACCACCCCGTCCCCACATCCTGCATGCCTATGTCATTTTGACAGTCATGCTGATGTCCCCAGCAAAAACTCCCTTTTGCCCAGAGCAACAGGATTCTTGATGAGAGACAGACAGGAATTAGTGTCCCATGCTCTCTTTTCCACCCGGGCCTATCCCTCCTAAACCCGGCTCTGTGTGTCCTCAGCCAATTCCATTCATAGGATCTGGCCTTCCAGGCACGCTGGAGGGCCTGCATGTTAGCTGGGCTAGTGAGACCCTCTACGTTCTTCCTCTAGCCTGTCCAGGCCTCAGCAGCCTTGTCCCTACTGTCAAGGGAAGTCAGAGAGGAAGCAGAGGGAGGAAAAGATACCCCAAAGGAGCAAGAGATGAGGGTGAGCCCAGATAGTGGGCAGGCGTGTTCTGGCCTACCTCTGTGAGCCAGAGGGAGGAGGTAGCTGCTCAGAAGGGAAAGGGCCCAGCCTCCAGAGGGAAGGGGGAGAAAGAGAGGGCGTAGGGTTACTGGGACCCTCACTGCCCTCCCCCCATCCCAGCCCCTTCTCATCCTTACCCGCCCACCCGTCTACCCACACCCTGACCTATCTCATGCCGTAGCATGCCCTCCAGCCAATACTGGCGGGCTCCGGTCAGGTTGATGGCCAATGTTGGTCGACTGTTCTCCACCATCATCACTGCCTGGGACAGCAGGTCCTCACTCAGCTGCACCACAACCTGCAGACGGCATCACCCTGAGCCATGGTCACCAGCCCTAGGGCCAGTGTGCAGGTAGACCCACTGATGCCACAGGGCAGCCAGGCCAGACACTTGGCCAGGACACCCACCCTTCACCATCTCTGCTCAGAGCCAGCTCCCACCTCACTGGGGCATGGACAGGGACTTGCCTGGGGTCACTAGCGGGGCAGGTGTGGAGCTGGGCCTGGCACCACCCACTCAGCAGCCTGATATGGGGCTTGAAAAGGGGCCTCACAGGCAGGGCAAGCTCACCTCCCCGACGCAGCCCTCCTTCTGCATGTATTTGCGCACAATGGACCAGATCTGGCACTTGGTCAGCAGCTGGCCCCCAGTCGCAGCCTCAAAGTGTTCATAGGTACCAAACTTCTCCAGGACAGCCTCGATGATGCCAACGGCCTGCACACAGGACCACAGTGGCTGGTCAGGCCAGGCCTCTTGGGTACATGGGGCCGAGGTGAGGTGGGCAGGCTGGACTGACCTGATGGATAAACTGTCCAGAAGCCTCACAGTACTTCTCCAGCACAGCCGTGGGCATGGGCTCCTGGTACTCGAACTGTGGGTTGTAGGTGTAATGGGACTGGAAGAACTTGTCCCGCTCACGGTCCATGTTGGTTGGCCGCAGGGCCACCAACATGCAGGGGCTCCTGCTGGCACCACGGCCTGCATCTTTTCGAGTCTTAGCAATGTGAGGCAGAGAGGCTGCAGACCGCAGGGTGCCCCTACCTGGGTCCTGTCCCCGTCTAGGTGGGGCCCGACCCTGGGTGCTGCCCCCCCGCCGGCCAGTACTATTTACGGTGTAGGTGCTCTCACTGCGACGCATGTGGCCACGGTGGCCCAAGTGCAGCTCTGAGAAGGGCTGCAGCTCAGGCCGGGGCCGCAGGGCTGAGGGGACTGAAAGAGCCAGGGGCAAGGCCAGGGACCGAGGCCAGGGGTACAGCAGTCTCCCATCTTGGTCTGAGGGCTTCAGCCTATGTCCCAAGGATGCGGGACTGGCTGGTGGGCTGGGGGGTGCCTGCTCATACACCTGAGCCCCTGAGTCCAGCACCATTCTGTCCTGGGGGTCACATCCAGACGGGTCACTCCAACTCCCCACAATGTCGACTTCTGGGGACACAGAAGGGCATGGGGAGGCATGAGTGGGTGTGGCCTGAGGACCACCAGGCCCTGTGCTCCACATGCCCTTGCTGGGTCCTTGCTGGGCCCAGAGCCTGCCTCCAGGGGTCTGGGTGGCCACCCCCTACCCCCACCCCAGTGTTCATTCCCTCCAGCAGGCTCACCCAAGCAAACTGGACTAGATGGTGGTTACTGGAATCCCCTTAGCCTGTGAGCTCCTGAGAGCAAGGCCTGAGCCCCTACTCATGATTCTAATCCCTATGCTCAGAGCCCACCCAGACTGGGAGCTGGTACAGTGTGGTTGGGCCTCAGCTACCAGGATGATGGGTAAGGGGGCCTCACTACCTTCTACCTGCCTTCTACCTATGGCCTTTTCTCAGTCTCAACCCTTCCCCCAGCCCGGCTCCACCTACCTCCCCCAGCCCATTTGGCCTCAGTCAGTTTGAAAGCCTATGTGCCCCTTGCTTATGCTAGTCCCTCCACCTGGAATGCTCTCTCCTCTCTGGGCCATCTGTTCAAATCCAAATTAGAATCCGCTTTTGGGAAGTAGAGGGAAACTTCAGCAAATCCAAGCGTGGTCTGTCCCCTATCAGAGGCATCTTCCTCATGGTCATCTAAGGCTAGTGAAGGGACACTCACCCTTGACTCTGTACCTGGGCTCAGTCCAGTGAAGCCTCTCCCCAGAGACTGATCGAAGGCTCCAGCTCCTAACTCCCTTGCCTGCTCAGGGACACAATTCCAGCATTTCTCCTCTCTCCTACATCTCCCACATCATCAGTCTCTTCCTCTCTACTGGATTCTTTCCATCAGCATAAGCACATGCTGTTACTTCTCTGTCTTAAAAAAACAAAACAAAACCATCACTTGACCCCACACTCCTCCAGCTCCATTGCATCTCCCTCCAGCTGCTCCTCATTGCAGCACACCTTGAGTCATCTGCACCCTCCAGTTCCTTCTTTCCTGTTCTCTCTCAAATTTCCCTTCAATTAGGCTTTTGTCCCCCACTCTCCATTGAAACTGATCTCACCAAGATCACCAGTGATCTTCATATTGATCAGCAGCACTTGACACAGTTAATCACTTCATCCTAGAAACATGCCCCAAGACATGAACACTTCTATGGAAACTTCTCCATTTATGCTCACTCCCTCGCTGATCTCATCCACTCTCGTGGTTTTAAAATCATCAGCCCAGACTTCTTCCATAACTTCAGACCAGTGTTGCAAGTTCTCAATTGAACATCTTTAATTGAATGTATAGCAAGCATCTCAAACTGCACATGTCCCCTGTCTGGAATGTTTTCCCCACAGAACTTCAGGAGTGGCTGTCTCACTGTCCTCAGATTTCTGCACAAGTATGTTATTAGAGAATCCTCCTTAACACACTCTATAAACTAGTAAACCTCCCCTGCCCCACGTTATTGCTCTGTAGCAGTTATCACCATCTGAAGTACAGTATAGTTAATTGTTAGTTGTTTTCCTCTTTTTAGTGTACACAGCTGTGTCCCCAGAACTCAGAACAGTACCTGACCCAGAGCAGTTGCTTAATAACATGAATGAACCCAGGAGCACTCCTCCATCTCAGAACTGGAATTATTCCTTCCCTTCCCTTTTTTCCATGTAGATCTGATCCCCACCCCCTCCACTCTACCTAGTGATGAGCTTGCTTGAAAAGATTTCAGGCCTCAGGCTTCACTCCCCTCAACTAACGGTGCACTTTTTCTGGACTCCTCACTGGTCTCCAGGCCTCTACCTGGACCCTGCCCTTCATCTCCCCTTCTTTCTTTAGACCTACCTCTTTGCAATTACTAGAATATGCCTGTCTCTTTCACGTCTCAGGTCTTTCTGCCAAGAATGTCCTCCCAATGTCTCCCTGGAGCAAACACCTAACCATTCTTTAGGGCTCGGTTTAGGCCTCACCTCCTCCAGGAAGCCTTCCGGGTGTCTCAGAGGTTCCAAGTGCCTAGGCGGCTTCTTTACCGCCCTAGGCTGTCACTGTCAAAGCCTAGGTCCGTGTTCCCCTAACATTCCCTGAACTCCCTGAGGGCAAGGACAAGTCTGATTCACCCTCATGTCCCAAGAACCCAGCGCCAGATGCAGAATGAATGAAAGATGGTTGGGGGAGGAGCCCAAACTGAAGGCGGAGTCTGGTGAAAAATGAGAGGGCGTGGCCTGCGCCAATAAGAAACTCCCGGAGAGGATAACGTGGAAGAGGAGCCAGTAGGGACGGGGAGCTCGAGGACGGGCGTGACCTGCAGCCAATAAGTGGCGGGCCAGGGGGCAAAGGGCGTGCCCAATGGGGGGCGGGGCCAGAGGACAATGGAGGGGGGTTCTCTGGTAGATAAGGAGGGGTCGCGTCGCGCGCCTTCCCGGCCTATCGGGGGTGTGGGGGGGTTCCATCCGCGGGCCGCGCCCCAACCTGTTCGCTCCTCTTCTTGCCACCGCCGTTCCCGCTCCTCAACACCGGTCGCCGGCCGCCCAGCCCGGGGGAGCGGACGCTGGTGACGCACGCACTCGGGCGCGCGCACGCTCGCACGGAGGAGCGCGGATTCGCGTCAATCTCCGCGGTGGCGCGCGCCCGAGAACACAGCTGCGGTGGGGCCAGGCAGAGCAGAGGAGGCGGTGTGCGCCACCAGGTCACGCCCCTGGGCTGGGCGTCATCTTAAGCCCGCCTCCTCCATGAGGGTCAGTAGGCTTCCGGGGCTTCGGGGCTCCTCGGTAGTTGGAGTCAGGGCCGAGGAGACAGAAGCTCACTGCCCCGGCGCGTAAGGCGGCGGAAGCCCGGCTACTTGGGAACGCAGCCCGCATACAAGGGTGATGCCGGAATAGGTGGGGAGCAGCCCGCGCTCCAGGATTGGAGCCGGCATACCTTAGGCGCGTCACTGCGCGTAGACCCCCTACACTTAACGGGCACTTTTATTTCATCTCTCCTTCCTCAACACGCACAGTTCAGGCTTAAAGGAGCCAAGACTTTATTCTGCGGACAGCCGGGCGTCAGGCACAGGGCCCCGAGGGGAGGCAGGAAGACGGCGCGGGCGTAGGTGCTGGCACGAGGCTGAAGAGTGCTCGGCGTCCCACGGCGGGCGAGGGCTGTGGGCCAGCCTGCAGGGAGCTCAGTGCGGCCAGGCGCTGCTCTCGGGACACGTCTCCCCGCAGGTCCAAGAGGGCAGAGACGTGATCCTCGCTAGGGGGCACCGTGGAGGCGCATCAGCCCCGCCCTGCCCCTCCAGAGTCCCTCCTCCCTTCCTGCCCCATTCCTCCCTCGCACCCAATCCTCGCACCTCACGTCGGGAAATTGTTGCCGCAGGCCCGCCACCTCGAGGCCAAGCAGCGTGGGGTCGCGGAGGTTTAGCAGCTCCCGCAGGGCGAGCAGCACCGGCGCGCACTGAACACTTTCCTCCAGGCCCTGAGCACATCGGGGTAGGTCTCGCGCCGGCCTTCGGCCCCCACCCAACCACTGAGACTCCCACCCATCTGGTCGCCCAACGAGCTCTCACCAAACCAAGGAAAAGCTCCCGAAGCTGGGCGGCATCGTGCCGCAGGCGCTCGGCCGCCTGGGTCCGCTCGTCGGCACCGCGGCACACTAGGCGACCCTGCATCAGCGCGCGTAAGTACTGCAGCACTACGGTACGCTCCGCCTCGGCCAGTAGCAGCTGCGGGGAGTGCGATCAAATACGTCCAGGACGCCTTTTTCATGGGCGCTTTCCCCCTCCCCAGCCTTTGCCCCCAAACGCACCTGGACCGCGGGATTCCGCACGCGCCAGAAGTCCTGGCAGAAGCGCGCCGTCCGCTCGCACGCATCGTCCAGAACCTCCGAGCTCGACAGCCACTGGCGCGAGGGCAGAGCCTCGAACAGGGGCTGAGGGAGGGGGAACAGAAACGGGGCTGGAGGGACGATCCAGACCCGGCATTCCCCTCAGAGACCCCCATACACTGTATCTCCTCCTCCCGCCCCCATCCGCACCTGAAGCCTCACCTGGAGCTCCACCAGGAGAGCCTCCAACACGAGGCGGCAGATCCTCCTCTGCAACTCGTCCAGCGCTGCCTCCACTGGAGCCATAGCCCCTGAAGCCACCCCGTCGGGCTGCAGGACGGACACGGAGGAGCTGGACCGACCAAAAGTACAGCTTCAGGACCAAGGCCAAGGCCCACATGGCCCTCCGTCGTCTAGCCAATCCGGCGCCACCTAGTGGCAGAAGTGTGTGGCGGGAGGGGGCAAGAAGGGAGGCTCCCCGCGCTTCTGAAGGCCTGGGTCGTGGACTGAGGTTGGGAGTGGGGCTCAGCAAGCTAGAAGGGACACAGCCCAGCCGGACCTGCCTCTAATTCGCAGTGTGACCTTGAGCAAGTCACGTCTTTTGGTTTCTGTTTCGGTAAGGGGAGAGAGTTAATCCCAGGCAAGAGGGAGTAAAAATTATCATTAACTTTTTTGTCCTCTCAGCCCCATTCCAAAGAACATAAGAGGAAGTCAAGAGGAAGGGAATTTTTTTTCGTTGTTCACAACTGTAACCCTAGACATTATCTGGCACAGGTAGGGCCTTGGTAAGTATCCTTGAATGAATGAATAATTGACAGTCTGTGCCAGGCACTGTGGTGAGTACTTCACACCTGTTATCACGTGATTCTCAGAATGTCCCCTTACTACCCATATAATACTGATGAAAAAAGTGAGATTCAGAGAGATTAGGTAACTCGCCTAAGGTCACACAGCTAGTAATTGGTAGAACTAGGATTGGACCCCCAGGGCTACATGAGTCCAATATTCCTAATGGCCTAGTGTGGGCTGGATCCATACCTAATAGATGTTCAGTCAGGGGTTAGTGAAGGTAGGGTTCTGTGGGGGCCTCCTGGTACCTGAGTGCTGATTGGTGGTTGAGGGAAGCCAGTAGATAGGGCACGTAGTGAGGGGCCATTGCTTCCCCCCTGAGGTGGTCTCGGGAGAATCGGATCAGAGCGTCGCTGAAGCTGCAAAGGGCAGAGGTGGCTCCTGTACCTGCTGCCATCCTGGTGCTCCCACAACCCCAGTCTCTGGCACTCCAGCCCCACTTCCAAGATACCCAAGGCCCTGTTTTGGAGGAGCCCTTTCCCACTGGTGTGCCTTATTCACTCAGAGCCCCTTTGGGCCTCCCCGGGAGCAGGGCCAGGGGTTGGATGTGGGTCAGTCCCGTGGCAGACCTCCTCAGGAATGCGCCCAGTTCTGACAATGCCATGCCGTGCACCCGCTGCTGCAGTGATTCACTGACCCGGCTCGCCACACGAATGTTCTCTTCCAGGATCTACAGGCAGGGATGGGCAGCCATCGGCAGAGTCTTAGGCCTGCCCTCCTCCCTTTTCCCTGTGGGGGCTGCCCATCTGCCTCACCACTTCCCATCCACCTGCAGCACAATGGCCGGCATTGGTGAGTGGTAGAAGCCAGATGTATCTGTGTCAGGCTCTTGCTCTCGGCTCCACTCAGCTACCTCCCCATCCAGTGCCTTCTGCAGCCACTGGGCCACACTTGCCTGGGGGAAAGAGTGAGGGGCAGCAGGATATAACGGGGCACTGATACTGCTAGAGACAGGTAGACATGTGACTCGATAGATACAGGCCCACAGCTGGAGGTGGAGCTTCTCTGGATCTGGGCCCCAAATACTCACCTGGACTTTGGCCACAAATGTTGTCTCAAGATGCTCTATGTTCTCCAGGGTCAGCAGGGGCGCCAGCTGAGACACGTCAGCCTCAGGCCCCAACTCCAGGCTCCCCATCATTTCTGGCCTAGAGATGAGTAGCCCACTGTCACACTGAGCCCCCAGCCTCTCATCCACCCACTTCCCATTGCCCCAAGGGGACTGACCCCAGGTACACATGCAGTGCCCAATGCAGCAAGGTGAAGGCGTCAGCAGCTCCAAGCTCAGGCTCTTCCAGGAGTTGCTGCAGGCAGTGGCGCAGGCCACTGTGCAGGGTGTGGGCCCACAGCTGGACCACCTTGTAGTGTGGTGGGCAGCAGGGTGCTATTAGTGCCTCAGCTGCGGCCAACTCGGCTGGTAGAGCCACCCGCAGAGCCTCCAGCCACCCTTCTAGGGCCCCTGGCCCAGGCAGCAGAGGAGTCCCAAAGTGGATCTGCTCCAGGCCCTCCTGTAGTGCCCGTAGACAGCGCTGCCGCCAGTCCCGGGGAGCCTGTTCCAGGGAGGTTGTGCACCCAGCATCGACCTCTGCCACACGAACAGCAGCCACTAGCAGGGCTGGGTCCTCCCGTGCCAGCTTCCCTGCAGCCCCTGCAGCTGCCTCCACAGCCTGGCCCAATGCCTCAGCTAGAGGGCCCAGCCTCTCAAAGATTGGCAACTCCAGGCCCCCCAAAGCTTCCCAAGTCTCCTCTCGCAGCTGCTCCAGCTCCCGAAGGCTCACATATGCCTCCAAGAGCTGCTGGGCGCCGATCAGGGTCTGTGTGTGGGCCACTGCAGCTGGCACTAAGGAGGGAGGAGAGGAGACAGCCTTGGGTCTCAGCCTTCCCACCTGTGTAATGGGTGCAGCAGCAGATGCTGAGGCCCTGGGGCTGGGGTGATGTGTAAAATATTTAATAACCAGTACAGTGGAGCATTGGCCCACCTGAAAGGACCTAGGGAATGTCCTAGAGAGCTAGTGGGCTAAGTATAAACCCTTGAGCTGATGGAACATGATGAAGCCAGGGATCCTGGAGGGAAGACAGGGAGGAACTGGGGGGCCATGCTAGTGGGTATTCACCCACCCTGTTAGGCATATTTCAACATATTGACAATGACGGTGGGCAGAGCCACTTGACTGGGTGTCAGTCCTGACTCAGACATCCCATCTTGGGAACCCCAGAATGAGCTGTCTTGCACGCTACTTCATTGGTCATTTGAAGCCTGAGTGGCTGTCTGGGAGGTTCCTGGCGTGTCCCTCCATGCAATCTCACGCTAATGCCCCTGCCCCTTGATGTGATGGGCATTTGTTGACTAATTGTTGGAGGGCTGAGACCCAGTGCCCCTGCACACTCACCTGCCCGCAGCCGGGGCAGCAGCTGAGACAGAGCCTGAAGTTGCTTGTGCTGGGCAACCCGCTCCCTCAGGGGCTCTAGGGTCTGCGCAGCCTCTGCCATGCCCCGGAGCAACCCGCGGGCCTGGCCCAGGGCCTCACGGGCCCCGTGCACAGCCTCAAGGGCTCGAGCCAGCTGCCACATACCAGTCTTCACGCCCTCCAGGTATGACTGCACCACCGACTGTGAGAGAGAGGCAGCCAGTGAGTCCTGGTCAGTCCTGCAGCCCACTCCCAGCACTCTTGCTCCCTGCCTGATGCCCACCTTGATGCGTGCTTCCAGGGAGCAGGTACGCTGCACCTCACGGCTGCGATATTGGCTCAGCCTGGCCAGCTGCTCCGGCCGGTAGAAGATGCCTGAGGCCCACTTGAGTGCTGCACCTCGGGCCAGCCGTTCCGCCCTCTCCTGCTCCGGCCACTCAGGCCCTGGGCAGGAAGAGCCTGGGCAGCCACGTCAGTTGGGCAGGGCCTGCAGGAAGTGGCCGCCGAACCTGCTCCCCTTCCTACTCCTCGGCCTGTCCCCCAGGGCAGTCTGCTCCCACTCACTACCCTACAGAGCTCCAGCCAGACCTGGCAGGGAGGACCCAACCACACCATTCCCATCTTTCTTGCCACCATCCCTCCCACAGTCCACCCAGAGGGCTCATACCAGGGAGAAGTGCGGGCTGCATTTCGTCCTTGGCTGCTGAGTCCATGGCAGGCCCTGGAGCTGAGGTAGGAATGGGGATGAGGGTCTGGGTTAGAGTGGGCAGAGTAGATGCTCATTTGAGCTGCAGCCTCTGTCTGGGCCCCTCTGAGAATGAGGAGGGAAGTCCTTACCCAGCCCCCTCAGGAAATGAGACGGAGGTGGGTGTATTGGGGAGGCACCTGAGAAGCCCTTGCCTGCTGGGTTTTTCAGTTTTGCCCCAGCAGATGCCAAATGAGGCAGGGTAGGCACAGGCCTCTGCTGGACCCTGTTCCTGCTCTGAGTTACAGAGGACAGCTTGGCGTGGAACTCACCAGGCTTGACTAGTTTTCTCTCCTCCGCAAACAGCCTTGGCCTTGAGGATGGCCAGCTCCCCCAGACCTCATAGCAGAGTTGGACACTCCCTCCACTGGCTCACGAGGCCTGGGTGGCAGCAGAATTCTTCTCCCCAAGGAAGCCTCTGTCCCACCTCCCTGCCCAGGAGCCCTCTCCTCTCTCCAAGGCCCCTCCCTCCCCAAGGCCACATGCAGAAAGGAAGGAAGCTGAGTCTTTGGCGCTTTATTCCCAACAGGAAAGAACATTTGCACTGTGGGATGGGGTGGGGAGGGCTGGGCGCCACTTCCTTGGGGGGAGGGGAGTGTACACCCTGTGATTCTCAAGTCTTGACCAGCCCACCTAGGACCTCTTAGTGCTCAGGACACAGACATACACTCTATGGCCCCAGCCTGGAGTGGAGAGTGGGGTGTGCAAATATGGATGCAGACAACAATATCACAAAATGAAAACTGTTGAAGGGCCTCTGAGAGGAGGGTGTATGCCTCTGCAGAGGAGAGACCACAGGCGGTTGTGAAGAAGGTGTGCGGTGGGGGATGGCAGGAGATGGGTGGAAGAGCTATGAAAGCTGTTTTTATCTCAAGAGTTAAGGGGGCCCATGGAAGGGACTAAATAGTAGTAATAATGCAGTGGAGTCTGGTGCACACTCAAATCCACTCTTCAGGACAAAGGAACTCATTCCCCTAGCTGCCAGGAGTATAGGCTGCTGAGGTCTCATAGCTGAGTCTCTTGGTCAATGTTAGGGCACAAAGGCTGGGTACCCTTGCCTGGACGTGGAATGCCTTGGAAGGGCCACCCCAGTGTCACAGGTCCTAGCAGGGTAGGCTGAGGCCTCCATTATAACTGCATCACAGTTTAATTCCCCTCTTTGCCCCATTCTGCTTGTCTTACTCCCTTGCAAGTGTGGATCCTCAATAAACTTCCTGCAGGCAGATTCCTGTCTCACACTCTGTTTCCCAGAGAACCTGACCTAAAATAAACGGTAATGATTACAATATTAAAAATAACAAAATGAGGGCCCGGCTCTGTGGCCAAGTGATTGAGTTCCCACGCTCTACTTCGATGACCTGAAGTTTTGCAGGCTCAGATCCTGGGCGCGGACATGGCACTGCTCATCAGGCCATGCTTAGGCAGGGTCCCACATAGCACAACCAGAAGGATCTACAACTAGAATACACAACTATGTACTGGGGATCTTTTGGGAGAAGAAGAAGAAGAAAAAAGAAGATTGACAACAGTTGTTAGCTCAGGCGCCAATCTTTTTTTTTTTTAAGACTTTATTTTTTTCCTTTTTCTCCCCAAAGCCCCCCAGTACATAGTTGTATATTCTTCGTTGTGAGTCCTTCTAGCTGTGACATGTGGGACGCTGCCTCAGCGTGGTTTGATGAGCAGTGCCATGTCCGCGCCCAGGATTCGAACCAACGAAACACTGGGCTGCCTGCAGCGGAGTGCGCGAACTTAACCACTTGGCCACGGGGCCAGGCCCGGCGTCAATCTTTAAAAAAAAAAAAAAAAAAGAGCAAAGATGTTACAAATGAAACCGTAAAAAAAAATAACAAATGATACTAGCAAATACGTAATCTTTCCACACCAGAAACTGTTCTAAGTGCTTTACATATATTTACACATAAGTAAACATGTTTGCATTGGCTGAAAAGTGGTTATAATTCCATGGCTTCTGAGCACTGAGTTATGGAGATGAGAGAAAGATGAGGCTGGGAGCAGGAAGGAGGGTGGGGATGGAGAAAAGTGGACAAGCTAGATGTAGTTAGTGCTTGCTGTTTGGCAGGAAGCCAGGGACAGGAATACGGTGCCCCAGGACGGAGGGGCAGCCTCTACGAGCGGGTTTGGGGAAATACATTGCGTTCATCAGGCAGCACGGTCTCCTCTCCCGAGATGGGGAATGGGGCAGAGTTAGTGGAGTTGGGGCAGGTTGGCCAGCCAGGAAGTTTTCGGTGGATCCCCTTTCTCTACTGCCGGGGCTGCCCACCGACTTCTCCACATCCCTCTGCACCATATCCTGTCTCCTGGGCTCATGAGTTGTTTTCGTCCTCTTCGGCTGTTGGACATTTGCTGATGGTCCCCGAAGTTTTCGGCCCTGCCGGCAGAGAGGAATTGTGCCACGTTCCCTGGGAGGGCGCGGGGCGGAAGCGGAATCGGCGATGCTGGCGCCGGCGGCCGGGAGGCCAGGAACGGAAGCGGAAGTGGCGGCGGAGCCGGCCTGGCCTGGCCTGGCTGCGGGGAGGCGGCGGGCGGGCGCGATGGCGGAGGCCGGGCCACAGGCCCCGCCGCCCCCAGGCACCCCAAGCCGGCACGAGAAGAGCTTGGGACTTCTCACCACCAAGTTCGTGTCGCTTCTGCAGGAGGCCAAGGACGGCGTGCTTGACCTCAAGCTGGTGCGGCCTGGGCTAAGGGGCAACGGGGGGGATGGTGGACCAGGCCTGGGCCGATAGAGGGAACCCCCTGGGGCGGCCCAGCCTAGCCCCAGAGAGCAGGCCGCCATCTGTGTGCTTTCTCACAGGAGGGAGGCCGGCAGCTGTTTCATTCATTCGGCCGAGGCTATTGGGCGTCAGCTATGTGCCAGGCTCGGGGCTGCAGGTGCTCGTCCTCGTGGCCCTCCCCAGCTGGTGTGGGGAGAAGAGCATCAGAACATCAGTTCAGGCTGTGCCAGGCCTCTTCCTGCCCCACGGTCCTGAGTTGCTGTAGTGCCTGGGAGGAGGGTTGGGGCCCAGGCCACCCCCTTTCCAGACCACTCCAGAACAAGTCTCCAGGTAGCTGGGAGTACACCTGAGAGTGAGGCTGAGCATCTTCCGCTCTGTTCTGTCTGCCAGGCAGCTGACACCCTAGCTGTGCGCCAGAAGCGGCGGATTTACGACATTACCAACGTGCTGGAAGGTATCGGGCTGATTGAGAAAAAGTCCAAGAATAGCATCCAGTGGAAGTGAGTGGGGGAATCTGGGAGAGCAATGGGATATCCTACCCAGAAGTGTCAGGGGTGTGGGGTGGAGGGTGCAGAAGAGAGCAGGGGCCATGGGACCCCAGCGTTCCTGGCAGCCCCTCTCAGCCCTACTCCCTGGGCTCAGAGGCGTAGGGCCTGGCTGCAATACCCGGGAGATTGCGGACAAGCTGATTGAGCTCAAGGCAGAGATCGAGGAGCTGCAGCAGCGGGAGCAAGAACTGGACCAGCACAAGGTGTGGGTGCAACAGAGCATCCGGAACGTCACAGAGGACGTGCAGAACAGCTGATATCCTCCTGGCAGTCCCTGCTCCCAGGGAGTGGGTGAGGGGCCCTCAAGTCCAGCTAGGTTTGCTCTTTGGTACCCTAGGCCCTATCCCTCTTGGGAGGATGCTCCTGCTGCTGCTGGCCAGGTCCCAGCCTGGGGCTCCCTCCTAAGAGCCCCTCCCCTATCAGTCTTGGTCTGTGATCCCTCCCCATGTAGACCCCAGGGCCCAGGACTTTCTCTGAGGGCTTGTCTATCAGACCTCTGCTAAAAAGCTGGATCTTCTCTGTGGGCTGCCATCTGTCACCATAGGCAGGGCATCAGCCGTTCTCCTTAACCCCCACACCTTGGCCTACGTGACTCATGAGGACATCTGCAGATGCTTTGCTGGTGAGCAGAGCCTGGGTAGGGGGTGATCGGGTGGGACTGGGCTGAGCCACAGCCCTGAGCAGTGGGCTCAGTGCCCAAGGAGAGTTCTGTCTCTTAAGAGGGTTCCTGGGGCCTGCCTAGAGAGGAACTGGGCAGGGTAAGTCCTGGGTTTGAGGGTCGCTGGGACCCTGTGGAGGCCAACCATACTGAGAGGGTGCAAGAATCCTGGGCTGGGTCGTTGGGTCAGCCCCTGTCTGTACTGTCCCTTGGGTTTGGCTTCTCAGGCATGACAGAGGCTTAAGGGGGAGAGTGTGTGTGCACACCTGTGCATGCTTGTATGCAGGGAGCAAGGGTGCCCACTTCCAACCTGCAGTTAGTTTAGTTGCATTGTGGATACAGAAACTGTTCCTTCTCCATCTTGCGTTTCCCAGACTGGTCCTGGGGAAGGGATGTTGGCCTTGGCCAGAACAGCTACACCTAGGGAGCAGCCCCGTCAATTGAGAAGTGAGATGCCCAAGGCCAGCAATCTTTCGCTTCACATGTTTGAACCCAGATTTCCTGGTTCCTGACCTCTGGGCTCTTGGGAAGAGAAAAGGTTTAGTTCTCTGTCCCAGCCACTGTGGAGGCTGGGTAAGGTCTACTGTCCAGCCCCTCAGAGACCATGATCCTTATTCCAAGGGACAGACCCCCTATTCCCGGCTCAGATTGAGCCCATGGGCCCTGACCCATCCTCCTTGTCATTCTAGGAGACACCCTGCTGGCCATCCGGGCCCCATCGGGCACCAGCCTGGAGGTGCCCATCCCAGAGGTGGGTGCTCAGCCCAGGCAGGCGGGGTTGATTGAGGGCGGGTGCTGGCTGTGGAACCCGATAAGTCCCGGGTGGGGCAGGTAGGGGGAGGCCTGGGGTTTGGGGTTATCTAGGAGAACGGGCAGCCTGGGGTGGGAGAGGATACTGTGGCCCTGGCCCAGGGTCAGGCAGGAGCCAAGCCTGCTTCCACTTCTACCTTTCCCCCACCTCCAGGGCCTCAATGGGCAGAAAAAGTACCAGATTCACCTGAAGAGTATGAGTGGCCCCATTGAGGTGCTGCTGGTGAACAAGGAGGCATGGAGCTCACCACCCGTGGCAGTGCCTGTGCCACCACCTGAAGACCTGCTCCAGAGCCCACCAGCTGTCTCTACCCCTTCACCTCTGCCCAAGCCTGCCCTGGCCCAGCCCCAGGATGCCTCACGCCCAAGCAGTCCCCAAGTGACCACCCCCACCCCTGTCCCCGGCAGCACCGAAGCCCAGGGGGTGGTCGGTCCAGCAGCTGAGATCACAGGTGAGGCACGACGGGCAGCTGGTCATAGGGTGATCTCTGGGGCCCAAGAGACAATACTTCTGTGTTCTGGAATGCCACACTCAGAGTTGAAAAAGACTGTGGGGATTGTCCTTTTCCTGGCTCCCACCTAACTTCCCTTTGGTATGGCATCAAATGAGCCCTTTTAACAGGGAAGCTCTGATTGTGTGAAAGGGCATTAGTGGTGGCAGTTTTCCCCCAGATCCACCTATGTCTCACTTGCCCTAGAAGCTCCTCTTGAAGTGTGGTCATGGCAGCCATGTGGTCCGTGAGTCCCTCTCCTGCAGACCTCATGCTCGTCTCTTTCAGTGACTCATTTCTAGGTTACTTTTTCGGAGGTGACTGACAGTGCCTAACTCTCCTTGGGCCCAGGAACTAGGATTGTAGTCATCCTGGCTGTGGATTCTAGCATGGCCAGGTTCAATATCCCACTTCCTGCCCCCATGTGACTGGGTTCGGGGGATGTGGTTGCAGTGAGTGGTGGCCCCGGAACCGATAGCAAGGACAGTGGTGAGCTCAGCTCACTCCCGCTGGGCCCGACATCACTGGACACCCGGCCACTGCAGTCCTCTGCCCTGCTGGACAGCAGCAGCAGCAATAGCAGCTCATCTGGACCCAACCCTTCTACCTCCTTTGAGCCCATCAAGGCGGACCCCACAGGTGGTGAGTACTTGTTCCCTTGGGAGCAGGGAGAACTCAGCCTCAACCAGTCCTAGGTCAGAAACAGAATTGGGCCTGGAACCAAGCTCTCCTGTCTCCTCAGCCAGAGCTGGTCAGCCTGAGGGCCAGCCCCCTGCCATCAACCCCTACCTTGATGCCAGAGCTGTGCCAGCCAGGGTGAGGAGCCTGGGGTCCAGCTTAGTGCTGGTGTCCCTTTGCCCCCCTTCCGGGGCTGACAGAATTCATTGGCCCTCTCTCAAGCTCTGCCTGCCACCCTTTGGACTCAGGTCTCAAGAAGGCATAAGCATTCTCTTAGGGAAGAGGCTGTGGTATGGCCCTCAGGCTCTAAAGGTGGGGCAGTGCCTTCCCAGGAGAGGCGATGTCATCTGCCTGGTATCTCTCTATCCTGCAGCTTGAGTGTTTGCTTCTTCCAGGACGTGTTCTCTTCAGCCCACAAGCACTGCTAAGTCTGTCCTCACTCAATGACACTTCGTCTTCTGTGTTCCCCTCTCTCACCTTCTCTCTGTCTGGACTCCTTGGAAAAGTCACCTCTCCTCCATTCCATATCTTGGTCTCCTAGTCACCCTTCAGGTTGCAGCAGTCAGGACCCCTGCACCCCCCACCAGTGCTGCTCTTGATAAGTTGCCCAACCCTGATTGCCACCTCCAGCAGATTTCTAAGCTGATTTGTTCTGTGCTGTCTTGCTCCATGTTGATGCTTTTTTTCTCCTTTGGCAGTAATGATGCCAGCTCCTGGCTCTTCTCTCTCACTGTCTTCTCCTGATCTCTCCCTGGCACTCCCTTAATCATTGGCGCTTCCCAGATCACTGTCCCATTCTACATCTGTGGGGGGCCCCAGTTCTGGGTAGATGAATCCCCAACTTCGTCTTGCTTAGGTCTTTTGCCTGAACTCCATGCATCTGTGTCCACATGCCTTCCCCTGCATATATCATGGGCACTTCATTTCCACGTGTCCTCAACTGAAACTTGCCTTTCCACTTCTCTGCATACCCTTCCATTGGCCCTAGTCACCCAGGCCTGACACCTGGGTGTCACTCCAGTTCCATTTCCTTCTCCCTTCTCTTTCTGCTCCCCACCCCACATCAGGTAAATGAGTTCTGTCTCAGATATCTCCCATCACTGGCCTCACGTAGCCTCAACACTCAAGATCACTGCTAGCCACCTCTATCTTAAATTCTTCAGCCTCCTCGTCTTTATCCCAGCTGATGAGGATCTGTCTGAAACGCAGCCAGACTGTGGCATTTCTCTGTTTACAAAAGTACTTTTAACAGTTCCTTAAGCCGCCTGGATAAAACCAGAGCCCCTACACCTGGCATATGAAGTTCTTTGTGATCCAGCCTCAGAAATCCTCTCCAGCTTCTCTTTCCTCTGTTTCCCAAGTGCGTCCTCCCGGTCAGACCTTTGTAGCAGAGTTGTCACCCTGTAGCATAGTCCCTATTGAAGTGTCTGCCGCCTCCTCTGCCAGGTGACCCAGCCTGTTGTGTGGTCTCTGAGCCTGGCACTGAGCAGGTGCTCAGCAAGTGTGGGGATGGACAGGGCATCCTCCATCAGACAGGGTATGCCTGCTAGGAGGGGTCTGCTGCCCTTCTGAGTTAGAAGGGCTGTATCAGTCACCTGCAAAGGGCTTTTGGTACCCTGGGCTGAGCACTGAGGAATTCGGATCTAGCAGGGGAGACTGACAGACAGTGCCAGCTTGGCCTGGGTCAGGGCCTACATCTCAGCTGTGTGGAGCCCCAGGGTGGGTGGTATAGGATCTGAGGAAAGCAGGGGCTAGAGTGGGACCAGGCTGGATCTCTGTGCCCTTGAGCATGGCTTTCTTGCTTTTTAGTTCTGGAACTCCCCAAAGAGCTGTCAGAAATCTTCGATCCCACACGAGGTAGGGCTATGTTCCTCCCTGGGGCTAGGGTAAGGGGCATAGCCCATTGGGTCTCACGGCTGTTTTCTTGCCCTTCTGAGGACCTGTTGTTGTGCTTGGTACCTAGGCAAAGAGTAAAGTTTCTGATGGGTGGGTGGGTGGGTGGGTGGGCATCGCCTTCATGGGCTTTGGTGGGTAGAGAGGCAGGAGCCAGAAGGTAACTGAGCTTTCCTCCCTTCCCCAGAGTGCATGAGCTCGGAGCTGCTGGAGGAGCTGATGTCCTCAGAAGGTAGGTGGCCCAGGAAGGTGGGGGATGGGTGTGGGCAGGGGGTTGGGTGGCTGCTGGGTTGGGCCTTGGCCAGCGGCCTCAGCCTGGTGCTCTCTGCAGTGTTTGCCCCCCTCCTCCGCCTTTCTCCACCCCCTGGAGACCACGATTACATCTACAACCTGGATGAGAGTGAAGGTGTCTGTGACCTCTTTGATGTGCCTGTTCTCAACCTCTGACTGACAGGAACATGCCCTGTGTGGCTAAGACACAGACTGTCTGACCTAGGGGCTGCCTGGGGACCTCCCCCCACCCCACCCCTACACAGCTTGAGAACCACAGACTCATGGCTTCCCCAGCCTTCCCTCACTGCACAGTTCTGGCCACAACTCCCACTCCTGCACCAGCACCTGTATTGTGCTGGGAGAGCAGGGGAAAAGGGCTCAGCCCCCTCCGCTGTGGAGCCAAAGTGTTTGCCTCTCCTTTTCTGGGGTCTTCCTCCACTTCGTGCCCTCCCAGAGCCCTGGCTCAGCTGCCACCCAGTGGCACAGAACCGAGGACCCACCATCACCTCATCGGGCAGCTTGTCCAGCCCCACTGCCCTGTTCCTGCCAGCCCCTCCCCCTCTCAGGAGGGAAGCTGGGGTGGCACTGGACGCTTCCCAGCACCACCCCTAGCTTCCTTCACTTCTCTCGACCCCCTGACTCTACAGCTCCTCCTGGACCTCTCATGTGTCCCCCTTCTGCAGGGCCCTCAGCCCTGAGAACCTGTAGGTGGTGGTGGGGGTGCTAACAGGAAGGAACAGAGGTCTCTAGCTAGGAATCTGGGCGGGTGAGTCCCTGAGGATTGGCCCAACCTCCCACTATCCCATAGCACCCCCTCTTGTTTATTCATTTACCCTCATTTAGACCTATTTGCAGAGATTTAGAAAGATTTGCAGTAACGAATGGATTCCTATATAAAGATTATTTTTATACTTTTTACAGCAAAAGAAAATTGTAATATTTGTACAGTGTCCAAGTGAATAAAGACCATGCCTAAGGCTCTCTCTGATCTGGTTCTTTCGGGGCCCCTCTCTGGGACTGTGCTGGATTGGTGGTGGGACTGGGTGGGTCACCTTGCTGGAACGGGAGGTGTGTTGGCGCAGGCAGCCTGTCCTCCCCGCCCCAACCTGCCGCACCTTGGGGTAGGGCGGGGCCGCCTCTTGGGGGCGGGGCAGGGCAGGAGCTGTCCTATCCTACTAGCCCCGGGACTCCAACCCGGAACTAGCTTCGGCTCCCTTGGGAAGGCCGCGGCGCCTGGCCGGGAGTGGAAGCCTGGGCCGTGAGTTTGGGCCACGGGGGCCAGGCTGCGGACAGAGGGACGCCCTCCTCTCCCAAGGGGCCCGGGTCAGGTGCGCCCTTGGCGGGAGGTTGCACAGCCTGGAAAGTACAGGGGCCCCTGTCCTGGCTGGACCATGGCTCCTCCGCGGAACGTGGTGAAGATCGCCGTCCAGATGCGTGACGCCATCCCGCAGCTCATCCAGCTGGACCAGGTCACCCGGCCTGTCTGGCCTCCATCCACCCCACCGCCCACCTCTGCGTCGCCCCCTTCCCCTCGGAAGAGCCCATCCCACCCCTTCCCCCGGGATCCTTCTCAACTCCTCCCCATTCCTGGCCCCATGAGCGATCTCTCCACTTGCAGGCAAAGCCCCTGGCCGCTGTGTTGAAGGAGGTGTGCGACGCGTGAGTGCCGGCCTGCCAGGCTAGGGGGTGGGGGAAGGGCAGGAGGGAGGTGGCGCCTCCTACATGCCTACTGAGCCTCCACCGTCCCCAGGTGGAGCCTGGCTCACTCTGAGCGCTATGCCCTGCAGTTTGCTGATGGCCACAGGAGATATATCACTGAGAACGTGAGTCCCATCTCCCACTCAGCCCCCACAGTCCTCTCTCTGACCCCTTCTAACCTGGCCCTGATTTCTCAGACTCATCATCCCACTGACTGGAATGTAATCTTTTACTGACTCCCAGATCCTGATTGACAACCCCAATTAACCAATCCTCAGACTTCTTCTTGACTTCTCTCCCTTTTCTGCTGTCTTCTCCAGAACCGCGCAGAGATCAAGAATGGCAGCATCCTGTGCCTCAGCACTGCCCCAGTAATGCCTTCCCGTCCCCCCGACCCACCCCCCCGGGCCCCACCCTCATTCCCTGCCCCTCTGCTGTGCCTTCTTTGTGCCCGGCTGCGCCTATGCCCTAGGTCTGGAGGCCCCAGCCAAATGCCCGCAGTACTCCACCTAGTGGACACTCAAGTCCCCACACCTAGTTCCCACTCCCTACCTCTATCCGGCCTCCTCACCTCTGCTCCTGCCTCCGTCCGCTGCCAGGACCTTGAGGCTGAGTTGCTGTTGGGTAGGCTGCAGAGTGGGAGTCGTGAAGTGCGCCGAGAAGCCCTGCAACACCTCGTCCTGCTGGCCCCAGACATGACCTTTGCTCAGGAAGTCATCAGCCGTGATGGGCTTCAGAGACTAGGCACCATCATTGAGGATGGGGATGAGTGAGCACCGGGCTGTGGTGGGTGATGGACATGGTGGGGCTGGGGGTCCCGGTCTGGCCCTGCTCAGCCCCAGATGTCCCCCCAGCCTAGGGGAGGTGCTGGCTCTCACACTGAGGACCTTCTTGGAGCTCATGGAGCACGGTGTGGTGTCCTGGGAGACGCTCAGCATCCCCTTTGTTAGGAAGGTGGGTAGGCTTTTCTAGGGGCAGCAGGTGCAGGAAGTGGGGTGGTGTCAGGGTCTGGCCTTCCATGGTGGTGAGGCAGTGACAACCCCTACTCCTCCTACAGGTGGTGAGCTATGTGAACATGAACTTGATGGATGCATCTGTGCAGCCCCTGGCCCTCAGGCTGCTGGAGAGTGTGACCTTGAGCAGCCCTGCCCTGGGCCAGTTGGTCAAGAGCGAGGTGCCACTGAGTAGGCTGCTGGTGCACCTACAGGTGTAAGTGTCTGAGGATGGGGTACAGATGAGGGGAGCAGAGGCAGACCCTAGATGACTGGCTGAGCCCTCTTCTTGCCCCAGGATGAACCAGCAGCTGCAAACCAAGGCCATGGCACTGCTGACAGCCTTGCTGCAGGGGGCCAGCCCTGCTGAACGTAAGGTGAGTGTCCATCTAGTGGCTGGATGGGGACAGCAGCTAGTGGGCACTATGCTCCATCCTGGGCCTACAGGGTAGGTGCTCATGGTGGGGCTAAATCATCTAAGTCCACTTCCCACCCACCTCAGGACATGCTTGACCAGCTGTGGCAGAGAAACCTTCGCCAGTTCATCTACAAGGTAGGAAGGATGGAGCCAGGCCGACCCTTCCCCACCCCCCATCTCCCAGTGAGCCTACACTCACACCGATGGATTGGCTGTCCTCCAGAACATCATCCATAGTGCAGCACCCCTGGGCGACGAGATGGCTCATCACTTGTACGTACTGCAGTCTCTTACACTGGGGCTGCTGGAGCCACGTATGCGGATGCCACTAGACCCCTATAGCCAGGTGGGTGCCTTGGGGGGGCACAAGGCTGGGGGCAGCTGGAGCTTGGCCTTCAGTCTACAATTTTGACCCGTCCCCACCCAAATAATGACCCCCAGGAGCAGCGGGAGCAGCTGCAGGCCCTGCGCCAGGCTGCCTTTGAGCCGGAGGGGGAGTCCCTGGGCACTGGGCTGAGTGCTGACCGTCGCCGATCCCTCTGTGCCCGCGAATTCCGCAAACTGGGCTTCTCCGTGAGTGACCCCTACCCAGCTCCCCACCCCTGCCTCAAGCTGGGGCTGCTGTTGTTCCAGAGGGCTGGGAGCCTTCCTGAACTGCCTGTCCCCCTTCCCCCAGAACAGCAACCCTGGGCAGGACCTAGAGCGTGTACCCCCCGGCCTGCTGGCCCTGGACAACATGCTCTACTTCTCCAGACATGCACCCAGCGCCTACAGCAGGGTCAGTGATGGGGCAGAGTGAGATACAGCAGAATGCCTGTCCATGCAGGGTCCCCATGGGCTTAGTCATGACTCCCGCCATTCTCTGCTCCCACTACCCCAGTTTGTGTTGGAGAATAGCAGCCGAGAGGACAAGCACGAGTGCCCCTTTGCCCGGAGCAGCATCCAGCTGACCGTCCTGCTGTGTGAGCTGCTCCGAGTCGGGGAGCCCTGTGAGTGGGACTGGGAACAATGTGTCTGGGAACAGGGGACGGAAGGGCAGAGAGGGCCAGGGGCTGCACACACTTTCTCCCTGAGCCCCTCCTGCCCCCCCGCTCCAGGCTCCGAAACAGCCCAGGACTTTTCGCCCATGTTCTTCGGCCAAGACCAGAGCTTCCATGAGCTCTTCTGTGTGAGCATTCAGCTGCTGAATAAGACCTGGAAGGAGATGCGGGCCACACAGGAGGACTTTGACAAGGTAGGGGGGTGGGAACAGGGAGACCTGAGGCAGGGCAAGGGGCTGTTCTGGGTAGGGGCCCAGAGCTCAGGCCCTGAGCTAAGCTTGGGGTGGCCCCAGGTCATGCAAGTGGTGCGGGAGCAGCTGGCCCGCACGCTGGCCCTGAAGCCCAGCTCTCTGGAGCTCTTCCGAACCAAGGTGAACGCGCTCACCTACGGGGAGGTGCTGCGGCTGCGGCAGACTGAGCGGCTGCATCAGGAGGGCACACTGGCCCCTCCCATACTGTGAGTTGGTGGGGATGGGTCCAAGTCCTAGCCCTCACCTCCCCTGCTGCCTCATGGGCCTTGCCCCAGGTCAGTCCTGGTCAGCAAGTCCCCTCCCCCCACCCAGGGAACTACGGGAGAAGCTGAAGCCAGAGCTCATGGGCCTAATCCGCCAGCAGCGTTTGCTCCGCCTGTGCGAGGGGACACTCTTCCGCAAGATCAGCAGCCGGAGGCGCCAGGGTCATTGAGTGGGCAGAGGAGGGCAGAGTGTGGTTGGGTTGGGGTCAGAGCCCCTCTCATCACTCCTTCCTTCTTCCTGCCCACAGACAAGCTGTGGTTTTGCTGCCTATCCCCCAACCATAAGGTGCTGCAGTATGGGGATGTGGAGGAGGGTGCCAGCCCACCTCCCCCTGAGAGCCTGCCTGAGCAGCGTAAGGAGGGCAGGGGCAGGGGTCAGACACCTGCTCTCCCCAGACCGCCCCATGCCCCTGGACCTCCTCAGGCTCCAGTGGTTAGCCCAACCTTCTTCCTGCAGTCCCTGTGGCCGACATCAGGGCACTACTGACAGGCAAGGACTGCCCCCACGTCCGGGAGAAGGGCTCCGGGAAGCAGAACAAGGTGAGTGTGGTGGGGGCTAGGGGCTCCTTCCTGCCTGCCCCTGCCCTGCTGCCTGCTCAGTGCTCCTGGCTCCCTTGCTTCCCCAGGACCTCTATGAGTTAGCTTTCTCAGTCAGCTATGACCGCGAGGAGGAGGAGGCGTACCTCAACTTCATTGCCCCCTCCAAACGGGAGGTGAGTGTCTAGGCAGGCTGAGCCAATTTGGGCAACTGGGCAGGGGAAGAGACGGGCAGGTCCTCATGGAGCTGGCCCTGTCTCCAGTTCCACCTGTGGACAGATGGGCTGAGTGCCCTGCTGGGCAGTCCCATGGGCAGTGAGCAGACACGGCAGGACCTGGAGCAGCTGCTGACCATGGAGACCAAGCTGCGGTTGTTGGAGCTGGAGAACGTGCCCATCCCTGAGAAGCCACCCCCCATCCCCCCACCCCCCACCAACTTCAACTTCTGCTATGACTGCAGCATCGCTGAACCTTGACAGTGAGGTTGGCCAAGGACCACAGCTGCTGTCACTCCAGTGGCCACAGAGGGTGGAGGGTGGAGAAGCTCAGACATCCTGATCAGCAGAGGCTTCAGCAGAAATAAAGTCTGCTTGGCTCTTTGGCATGTGTTGAGTCAGTTCTGAATCTTGTGGGCCAAGCCTGCCTTCAAATTTAGCTGGCAAATGAGATGGGGCATCAGGCCAGAGCCACAGTTTGGGCCTACAAACCTGGGCAGCTACAATTGAGGGGCTGGTATTCTGAAGGAGGTGGTGGTAGGCTGGCCCCGTTGCCCTTCCCAAGATGAATCCTCAGCCTCCCTCAGTGCTGGGCCTGCAGAGAGGGATGGCTTGAGGACTGGGGGCTGCCAGTCAGTTGAGGGAGAACTAGCAGGGCAGGAGGCACTGCTCAAAGTGGACGCCTTCCTGGGCAGCATTAACAGGGGCCTAATCTGGGAGTCATTTTCCAGAAAGTTCCTGACAGTCTGAGCTCAGTCCTCAACCCTGCTTGGCCCTGCCCTGTGATCTCTGTGGGATTTAGAGGCCCTCTGGTGAGAGGCTTGAAGGGAGAGATATGCAGTTGGGCCTGCTTTGTGCTGAAGGGCAAACTCACAATTCCAAAAGATGTCCCTAGGCTGGTGGGTGGATGTGGGCTGATTCTAACTAGAGGGAATTCAGTGCCAGAAGCCCTGCATTCTGATTAAAAACCAATGCAGGAGCAAGGGTGGGGTGGGGGCCACACACAGGCCAGAGCCCCTGGGGGCAGAAGCCACTAGGAGTGTTGGGCCCTGCTGGAGGTCAGGCTCAGAGGCTCAGAGGTTCTGGTCCAGGACCCCAAGTCTCTGAGGCAAAGAGGAGCACACCAGCCCACAGGACCCACAGGGTAGGCTAAAGGCTGCCACTACCCTCTGACCTCCTTCTCCATGCCTTTCACTCCCTCTCCTTCCCAATGCCTCCTCAAATATCTTTTTTAACAGTGTTAACCATCAACATATTACCTTGAAAAGTGATGAAATGGCACCTCCTTTGGAGAATGTGCTGGGGAACACTTGCATCCCCTCTCCCCAGCTATGCTTCTGACTTGGGCATCTAGGGCCCAACATGCCGACTTCCTGCATTCAGAGACTTCCTACCATACTTGGAATAGTGTGCTATTGAGTTCAAGGTGAAAATGGGGAGTGGGGATGCCAGATGCAGTTAAGTCTCCTGATACTGTCAATTCTTTCTTCTCAATGTCTCCAGTCTCTTGCCCAGGCCATCATCATCTTGACAAGAACCTCTTGACTTCCTGCCTCCTCTCTTGCCCCTCCAATCTTCTCAATACTAGCTACCCCAACTACTTTCTCAAATGTGAAGCTGCTCTGATTACACACTCACACACACACCACCCCCATCCTGTATTCTTCAATGTCTCTCTCTTGTCCATGGGATAATGGTCATGGTACCATGATTGAGCAGAGTTGAGGTAGGTTGCAGACAAGTTGTGGTTTTAGCCTTTCCAACAGAGTGTCTGTGGCTTGCAGGGTTCTCAGTGCTTGGTCTAAGCTGGCATACTCTCTACACCCTGTCAGGGCCTGGACCCTCCCCCTCCCCCTTCAGCGCCAGCTCTGGCCTGCCCATGTGCATCTCCCCAGTCCCTTCTGTCTGACTGCCCTCTTTCCTCTCTTCTGCTCATTTTTCATGGCCTTGGTCCTTGACCTCCCAGGCTAAGTTCATTGCTCTGCTGGGCTCCTGGTCCCAGGTGCTTGTTTCTCTATTTGTGTACACCCTGCACACTGGACTGTCTCTGCCTGTTAGTTAATTTGCCTCCCCATCTGGCCTGGGGGCTGGAAGGGCTCTGTCACCTCTGAATCCCCACATAAAGCACAGTGACTGTGGGCACTCAGGCAGCCCCTCTAGCTACTCCTAGAACTGAAGAACAGAGAGATGGATATATGGAGAGCCAGATGAACAGAGTGGTTCTCAGAGCTGCTGTTGAGAAGTCACCTGCACTGTTTAGGTTGGACGAGTGACCTCTAATGACCCTTCCTACCCAGAGATGCTATCTTCTTTTTTTGTTGTCCTTTTTTCCTGAAGACAGCCTCATTGACTCAGGGATCCTTAATCAGCATGCTCCTGGGGTCTGGCTGGGACAAGTGCACACAGATGTGCCTTTGCTGCAGGACATGCCCTTGAGCTCGTGCTGGGGAGAGGCCTCCCACCAGGTAGGGAAGAAGCTGGGACCTGCTGGAGTGTCTGTGTGGCTTTGGACCAGGTGTGAGGAAGAAGTGTTTCCCTCTGGTGTTTCCTCCACAGTGTCTCTGGGCTGGGCTGCTTCAGCAAAGGTGGGGAGGGGAGGGGTCCTTTAGTCTGAGAACTTCAGGCAAGGAGGTAAAAGCTGGAATTTTTAATTTGGCTTGGGTTTACAAGACTGTGGCTTAGCTGCTAAAGCTCACTGCTGGCACAGGGCTCGTAGAGCTCCTGTAAGGTGAGGCATGGGCCTTAGGTGTGAGAAGTGGGCAGGGCAAGAGGCACAAGGTCTGCTCCCCACCAGCACCATACCAAGCCCACCTGTGGGCCTGGCCTCCTCACCCAGGCCTGGCCAGGAGAGCAGGACCTGGCATTTCCAGGGGCCTGTGGCAGCAACCTGTAGCTAGAAAGAAGCTCCTGCTGGGCTGTGGAGCAGACTGGGGCAGAAAGCCCCCTGGACTGCCCTGGATTAGTTCCTGCCCCCACCCCCACCCCCATCCTAGAAAAGGGGTTTATAGCTTGGGGAAGGGGCTCTGGGGTATGTAGCAGAGGGCAGCAGGAGGCACTGAGTCAAACTCCAGGTCAAGAGGCCAGGGCTGGGGACTCTGGAGATGGAGACTGCGCCCTAGGGCTGGTTACTGACCTGGCCTCAGAGGGTTAGGATTAGATCACTCCCTCCCAAGAAGCAGGATTGGAGCAGGTCACCTGGGGCACTTGGGCTTGGAAGCACCTGATGGCAGCCATGCTGATACCAGGACACACGGTCACATCTAACATCTGGAGCTGCTTGCAATGCCTGCCTAATGGTATCCAGTGTTCTGCAGGGAGGCCACTGAATAAGTGCCTAACCTGGCATGAGGCCCTAGCCTGACCCTGCACTGTGGCATCATCCGACACACGCACTGCTCCACGAGCTATGTGCAGCTGGAGAGGCTGAGGTGCTGCAGCCTCAGCCAGAAGCTGGCTGCCTGGGCCCAGCCCTTGTCACTGACGAGGCTGCAGTGACTCAGCACCAAGCACTCCAGGCTGGGGTGGCCCCTGCCACAGCCACCAACCCCTTGTCTGTGAGTGCTGGCAACAAGCTCAGTGACAGTTGCCTCAGCTGGGGGAAGTAGAGCCCCTGCAAGGATGGGTGGGGGGTGGGAAGTATAGTATGGCATTGGAGCCCAGGGTCTGGAGCCCTTCCAGGTTCCCCCACCCCTAGCCAGAGGAATGGCCATAGGGAGCAGAAGCCAATAAGAAAGGAACTTTTTCCAACCAAAAAGTGGGTCAGCCCGGGGCCCCTGGCTCCAGACCCAGCCCCTCAGGCTATCCACACCCCTCGCCCCACACCTTGGCCAAAGTGGCATCAGTCAGCTTGCTGCAGACTATGAGGTCCAACTCCTGCAGGGCCTGCAGCATGAAGGGGCCCTGTGGTTGGGGAGAAGGGTCCTTGGGGCCCAAGGCCTGATGCACCAGCTCTCAGTATGACTCAGGAAGAAGCCCTTACTTAGGTTTCTCCTGAGTTTGGCCCTCAAACGCTCCTAGAGAGAGACTTGAAAGGGCAGGGCAACTGAGCCCAGGGACCACCCCACCCTCTATGACCTTGAGGGTCTGTCACTTGGGACCCCAGGCTACTCACTTGGTTCCTCCAGCCCCCAAAGCCCTTAGTCACAGAGCTCCTTGCACCAGGCCAGGCGCAGGACTGAGAGGTAGGGGAGGTAGGCACGGATGGCCTGCAGGGTCTGATTGGTGAGGACAACACAGGAGGATAAGTCTAGCACCCTGAGGCTTGGGCCCACTGCTGGGATCAGGGAGAGCACTGAGGCATCCTAGGAGGGAAGTGGAGAAGAGAGAGAGTAGTGGAGAGGTGGCTTGTGCTCGGGTCACCAGGATTAGCAGAGGTCACTAGGAAGGTTCTGCCTAAGGTTCTAGCCCCACAAGCAATAGGGAGCTACCAGAGGGTCCATGGAGGGAAGCAGCATGGTCCCTGTGCTGGTGAAAGGTCAGCATGGAGAGGGTGGGCCATGGGGCTGGGACACCAGGAGTTTGCTGGAAGACAAAGGCCTAGATAGGCTGGGGCTGGAAGGATGCAGGTGGAAATTTCTAAGGTGTATGCCCTGCCTATGCTCCCAGCCTCTCCTGAAGGGATGGGCTGATGCAACCCCCTGATCACAGCTTATTGGAACAGCAGTGGACATCTGACACTAGCTGAGCCAATCAGATATGCTCCCTCTAGAATCTGAAGCAGAACTGTGAGGTCGCCATGGGCATAGGGCTGCCAGGAACAGTTGGGGTGAGGGGAGCAGGAACTAAGGGCAGAGCAGAGAAAGCTCATTTGTAGAAAGATGCGGAGACACAAGAATGCTCCAGAGAGAATAGCTAAGAGACACACAGTGGTAAAGGGAAGATGGAGGGGCAGGGGAAGAGAGGTGCTTGTGGGGAAGAGGTTGAGAGATGGTCTTTTCAGGTTGGGAATGCCCTGGTCATATTGATAGGTTCAGGGAATAATCCACTACAGAGGGAGAGACTGACATTGCCAAGACAGGGACCCCGTCCAGACGGACAGGCTGATCCCTCTTGAAGGAACTGGCTTCAGCCAAGAAATGACCCTGCTGCTCCCACATCCCATTATGTCCCACAGGCCCTGCCTAAGCACCTTCTTCTGTGTAGCCTCAGTGCCCCTTTCCTGTAGGGCTTGGTTCTGTCACCCTGTTCACCAGAACACCTGCCCTCAGGGCCCCTCCCCAGACTGCAGTGGTCACTGAGCACTTGGCATGTGAGGCGTGTGCCACCTCATGGGCTGGGCTACGCTGGTCTCTTGGACCTGGACCTCCCAGTACTTGGGCCCCCAGTGAGACAGCAGCACTGTCTGTCTAGGCTCCTTTCCCCTTCCAGACTGTGTCCCAAGTTGAGTTCTAACTACTATTCCCTGGACACACACACCAGGCAGTTCCTCCCTGGTGCCACACGCCCAGTTCCCCCAGCCCCCAGCCCTGGTGAGGAAGGAAGGGGATGGTAGGCTCACCTTGAGTGAGGAGCAGTAGGCCAGGCTGAGGGGTGGAGCTCCGCACCCCGAGCACAGGGCCTGGGCCAATTCCCACCTGCTCACCATGTCCAGGCTCTGCGGCTCCCTCCCGCCTGCTCACCATGTCGAGGCTCTGCGGCTCCCACAAGCCCCCCAGGGCTGTGCATCCCGCATCCGTCAGCCACTGCAGCTTCCTTGGGCTCCCTTGCTGCAGGTGCCGCAGGCCGAAGCTCCCAGCCAAGAGTGCCCCATCAGCCAGTTCTGAGCAGCTGCTAAAGTCCAGGGAGGTAAGGCCTGGTTGCTGGTGGCAAAGGGCCACGGCCTCTGTGGAGAAGTCCCAGCAGCTGCGCAGGCTCAGCTCCTGCATCTGCAGCCCGGCCACCTGGCCCAGGGGCTGCAGGGCCTCCAGTGGAAAGCCAGTGTGAGTACTCCTTCACGGATCACAGCAGGTAGCGGAAGGAGTTGGGAGGGGGAGGAGTCCTGGGGGCAGACAGAGCCCCAGGCTGGGCCCAGCTCGTAGGTGACGCCAAGTAGTAGGCCAAGGAGAGGCGCTCCAGGCTGGGGGCACAGCTGCTGAGCCAACTGAAGCTGAGGTCGGCCTGGTCCCACAGGCCAGCCAGGTTGAGCTCACAGAGGCAGCACCACGTCTGCTGGACCTCCTGTGCCATCTCGGGCTGAGCCAGCAGCATGCCTGATGTGAAGAGGCCACTCAGGTTGAGGATACGCAGGGACAGGCAGCCAGGTATCAGGGTCATGAAGAATGCCTCCAGGGGGCTGCCCTCACTGAGGCACAAAGCTCTGCAGGCGTGGGCCCAGGTGTAGGCAACAGCCTGCAGCACCTGGTATGAAGCTGGCAAGCCATCCCAGTCTGAAGGCAAGTCACTGGCATGTCAGGGAAGGGCCCTTTCACAATGGAGACCCACTGTGGTGTGTAGGGTCGTGTGTGGTTGAGGGGGTACTGGTGGGAAGTGGGAGCTGGGAGGACAAGTCACACTGGGGCTCAAATGGGATGACTATGAGGGGTAGGTTAGTGATGGATGGGACTGGTGCCTACAGCGGGGGGACAGAGTGGGGAGTTGACATGCTGGGCACAGGAGGGCTGGGAGGTAGCCTGGAGGAGACCCAGCAAAGACCCTGGTGGCAGGAGGACAAAGTATGCTGGACTCCAACCTTTGGGACTTTCAGAAGGTGGCTCTGAGACCCAAGGACTCAGCTCCGACTCCAGGGACTCAGAGCTTGGCATCAGCTAAACAACCAGCCTCCCCCACTTTCTCGAGAGCATATAAATAGCCCTCAGAATAGCTGAAGGCAGGAAGAAGCTAGGCAGGTGTCCCTTACCACAACCCTCTGTGGCCCAGGTGCCAGTGGTTTGGGGCAGGCAGTGAGGCCTAGATCCCCTGGTGGCCTGTGTCGTCTCAGCCACATGAATGTTTACAAAATTGGGTTGTGTGTGTAAATGAAAATGCCTGCATGCACGTGTGTGTGTGCGTGCATGTGTGTACGCCCTAACACATGTGGGCCCTGCAGGCTCCAGAGTTCAAGATGTGCTTGTGATCCCGGCAGCTCATCTCTGGAGAGTCCATCTACCCATCTAGGTAAGGAAGGAGAAGCCTCCCATTTCTGTGGGTGGGAGCTAAGAGAATGGGTCTCAGAGGCGCCGAGAAGGTGAGCTGGCCCTGCTGTACAGGAATAGGGGAGCACATGGTTGCAGTGAGGCGGGGCTTGGAGGTGAGCTCAAGGCTAAGTCATTGTGAGAATAAGCTGGCTTGTGTAGGAGTTTGGGGAACCCCAGTTTTCATAGAACCTCCCCTGATTTTGTGCCAGAGGGAGCCAAAGGGAAGTTGGTACAGGTCTGTGTGGAATAGATCTGGGGGAGGAGGGGGAAGGGACTTGGCTTCTAAAATCCTAGCCCCGTTTCTCTATTCCTGACGGATACCCAGCTTGCAGGTAAGTGGTACTCAAAGAAGGCTCTTGTTTTAATGTATCAACATGATCCTGATGCAGGAAAGCAAGCTCTCTGATAACCTGTCCTGTCAGTAACTGCAAGAAAAAGCTGGTGTTCCCTGCTTGTACCCCACAGAACATCATCAAAACGGAATCAGGAAGGTAGAAATGACACATAATACGCACTCCTGCAAGATACTTATCCCAGGGAGACACATGGAACTCATGCTTCTGCCACAGAGAGAAGCAGCCACCTTGGCTGTCATCCTGGGAAGGAACATGTGCTAAGAGATGGGGACCAGCTGCTGGCCACTTCCACAGGAATCAGAGGTCAAACCAGGCTCCCTTTCCAGACCCCATTCCCGGAACAGAATGTGGATGAGAGGAGTACTCCCCACAGCTTCCCTCGTGGACACTGGGAAACAGGGGGGTAGTGGGGACTCCCAACGGCCTGGGTCCCTCTCTCAGATTTAAGGAGAGCTGGGGAAGATCCTGGTGTCTGAGGATGGGGAGGGTGATGAAAAGATCAGGGAGGAAAGGTAAAGCAGGCCTCCAGCTGTTTAAAGCCCTGCATGACAGATGAGGCCATGTGATGATGAAGAGGTAAACTATGACTGGGGGAGTGCAGAGCGGTGCTGGTTGCCAAGGCAGCACCGGCCCCCACCAGTCACATGCCACCCCCGAGGGCCCTAGCTCAAGCAGCCTTTCGTCTCCTTTCTTTCCCTTCCTTCCAGAGCCTCAGCAGCCAGGAATGTTCTCCTCTCTCCCAGTGCCTCTCTATGAACAAGGTAGACAAACAGCCCAGGGAGGGCACTCACAGTCAGCCCAGGGTCCAAGTCCAGGGCTGGCTGGTGGCAGCAAAAGCCATCAGATAAAGGGGCAGGGGCCAGCCTAAAGGACTTCCAGCTATTGGTGTGTGTGTGTGTTGAGATTTGAGACTGCCTCCCTGCTCCCCATGATTTTTCTCGGTGGGGAGGGGGCAGCCTCTAAGCTTTCACCCAGGTGGTCTACCCTGGACTCAAAGGGCAGAAGCCCAGGAACAGCCTTTAAGGGATATTTATCACCCGTAGGGGGCAGAGCAGCAGGCAGAAGCAGGCTCCTGGGTTCTGATCTTTGGCCCCAGTGTAGTAAAGTTCTCCTTCCCAGGCCCCAGGAAGATGCTTCCGGATGCTTCAAGGGTACCCGTTGCTGCACCAGCCACCCCATACACAGGGCCTAACCAGCCCCCAGTCTCCTCCTTTCCCAGCGCTGGCATCTGAAGAATAAATACAAAATCATTTGGGAAATGCCCTAAACCTGCTAAAAGTGACACATGTCCCTTGACTGTGAGAGGCCAGGGTGTCCTTGTACCTAGTGAAGCCCCAAACTGAGACTGTAGGCCTGTGTGCAGACTTGGAAGGCCATCTGACAGAGCAATGGCCCTCCTGTCTGCTGGTACAGGAATCCAAAGCTAACACGCTTGCTCTCCAGGAGACGTCTGAGAAAATGTATGCCCTGGCAACCCGGGCCTTTGGTCTCTAGAGAGGAGTTAGACTTCAGGGGTCGTTTCCAGAGGCTCCTCTGGACCTTTTCTTTTTCTTTTGAGGAAGATTAGCCCTGAGCTAACATCTGCCACCAATCATCCTCTTTTTGCTGAGGAAGACTGGCCCTGAACTAACCTGTGTGCCCATCTTCCTCTACTTATATGTGGGACACGTGCCACAGCATGGCTTGATAAGCGGTGCGTAGGTCTGCCCCTGGGACCTCAACTGGCAAACCCTGCACCGCCGAAGCAGAACGTGCGAACTTAACCGCTGTGCCACAGGCGGGCCTCCGGGCCTTTATAAACACCTCAGGCAGAAGAAGCCAGCATCTGAGCCATCCTTTGTTCTTCACAGTGACCAACACAGCAGCCGGCAGCCAAGGCTCCCCCCATAATGGACGAGGCCTGGGTGTGTGAATGGGGTGCTGCCTTTGTCTACCTTATTTGAGAAAAATTGGGATTAAACGGGGGCAGGTCATGGGGGAAAAAAGTCACCAAGTCACGCATCCTAGCCTGGCCTGATGAGGGATAGGCCTCAGCTTGGCCTTGGTGAGCCAGAATCTTCCACTGCACCTACTAGCTGGGGGCACTACCTCCTTAGCAAGCTACCCACACCTGGGCCCTGGGAGATGCTTCCTGACAATAGGGTTCTGCACATTGCTCCCTGGGTTGGGGTGGTGGTAGGATGTCAGCAGGGCCCTAGATGCCCAGGAACCTGTGTCATGGTCTCCCAGGGCTCACAGCCCAGAAAGGTGGGGGAAGGCTGAGTTTTGCAGAGGCACAAAAAACCAGTCTTTGTCAACGTTCTATCTGGAGCTCACGGTTAGCTGGAGCAGCTCCAGCTCTAAAATGGTGGACTCCACAGTCCCAAACTCTGACGCTGGCCTCCTTCTCCTCACTCCCTTATTTCTATTCCAATCTCACCTCTACCCCAGGGCCTGACTGCCCACTTTGCTTCTTCTGCCCTCTCTTTCTTTGCCAGACTCCAAGAGGCCTCTCCCCTGATTACTCTCCTCAGGGTCCTGGTGGCCTTGGCCCCTTCATGCTGCTGTGCCCATTTGTCTTGCCCTCTGCCTGGTCAGGGATGATGCCTCCTCTGGGTGCATGCTGGGGATACAGAATTCTGCCTGAAGAAGCCATGGTCTCCCCTCTTGCCCATGCCATCAGCACTGGCTTCCCCCACTCCCACCTCCTCCCCACCTCTGGGCTCTCTTCTGATCCTCCCCAAGATTTCTCCCCAAGCCCTGACACTACTACAGTATCCTCCGCTCCCTCCAGCCTTCTCAGAGATGACCTGTTCTGTTTCAACAAGAAACCAAAGCAGGGGCCAGTCTGGTGGTGCGGCGGGTAAGTTCGCACATTCTGCTTGGCGTCCCGGGGTTCGCCAGTTCGGATCCCTGGTGTGGACATGGCACCTCTTGTCAAGCCATGCTGTGGCAGGCGTCTCACATATAAACTAGAGGAAGATGGGCACAGATGTTAGCTCAGGGCCAGTCTTCCTCAGCAAAAAGAGAAGGATTGGCAGCAGATGTTAGCTCAGGGCTAATCTTCCTCAAAAATAACGTTAAGGGGTGAGCCCGGTGGCGCAGGGGTTAAATGTGCACGTTTCGCTTCAGCGGCCTGGGGTTTGCCAGTTCAGATCCTGGGTGCGGACACGGCACAGCTTGGCACGCCATGCTGTGGTAGGCATCCCAAGAATAAAGGAGAGGAAGATGGGCACGGATGTTAGCTCAGGGCCAGTCTTCCTCAGCAAAAAGAGGAGGATTGGCAGCAGTTAGCTCAGGGCTAATATTCCTCAAAATAAATAAATAAATTAATTAATTAAATTAAAAAAAGAAAAGAAACCAAAGCCATGGGGTGGGAAGGCCCTCCCTTTGCCCTGTCCACATCCACCAGTCGACTCCTGGCAGGGCCTGTCCTAACCTCCTTCCCTCACCTGCTCTTTGGTTCCAGGCAACTCCCTTCTGGCCTACTAAGCTTGTCCCCTACCTTCTCCCCTGGGAACCCTGAAGTCTTGGCGTTCCCATTGCTCCTTCCTCAGAGTCCACAAGCACCTCACAGTCTAAAGCAACAAAAAGCCTCCCTTGCTCCTGCACCCCCTCTTCTCCCCTCTCCTCTTCCTCCCTTTCCTGCTACAGTCACGCTTCTTGGAAGCACATGGTACACCCACACCCACTGTGGCCACCTATTTACCCCTTGCCTCACCCATTTCCCCTCCACCACTGCCCCCAAAGAATCACTCATTCCCGGACACAGCTCCCCTCCAGCAAGGTCATTAACATCTGGGGGCTTCTCTGCAGACCTCCCACAAGTGTCCTCCCTGTCATGCCGCCTGCTGTGGATGGCCAGTCTGCCCAATGCTTTCTCCCACCAGGGGTCCTGCGACTCTGCTGTCCTGGCTCCCCTCTTACCTTCTAGCCTGCCCCCACCCACCTCTTTTGGGGTCACCAAAGAAGAGAGAGACTCAGTGCAGAGACGAGTGGGTTCTCCATGATTTGTTCCACTCCACACACACACACACACACTCTTTGTTCCCCTCCATGCCCTCCATGTGCAACCTGGCAGACTGCACTTCATCCCATTTGCGGTTATGAACTACTTTATTTGTGGTTCACATCTTTTTCCAGAATGGCAGACCCTGGGAGCTAGTTACCTGATGGATCTTTCTCAGACACACAGATGCAACATGCCCAAATCTGAATTCACTGTCGTATCCCCCAACTCTGCCCCTTCTCTTAAATTCTCAATGCCCTCTACCAATTCACACAAGTTGGAAATCTGGGAGTCATCCTAGAGTCCTCCCGCACTCCCCACATCCACAATGACCAGAGTCCCTTCCATTGATCCCTTTGATCTACTGTAGTCTGTCCCTCTGCTGTTACCTCACTGTTTCTGCCTTAGTTTACGTCCCATATTCTGTCAGAAATACATTACAGCAGCTCCCTCCTTATCAGGGTCCTGGCCTCCAGTCTATCCTTGGTATTGTCACCAGGGTGATCCTCACAAAAGGCAAATTGACAGTGTTCTTCAGACCCTTTGGTTGTTCTCCACTCCACAGGATGCAGGCTGAGCTTCCAAGCCCTTCTCTGTCAGACCCCTGCCCACCAGCCCCAGTTTGCCATGCCCTTTCCTCCTTCCTCCCCACCCCCAGCTCTGGGAATGCCAACTTCTGACCATTGTCTCACGCTGCCATGCCTCTGCTCAGCTGCTTTTTCTGTTGGGGCAGGGGGAGTTGTCTCACCCCTTACCTGCTCCCATTTGTCTATTTAGCAAATATTTGTTCCTTCCTCAAGACTCAGCCCAAGCATCCTCTTCTCCGTGAAGTCTTCTTTTCTGAATCTTTTCTCTGCATCCTCAGTGGGCCTCACAAGACTCTCAAGATCGCCTCCTTTTGGCTCATGCTGTCTCCCTCTCACTGCCAGCTCCCGAGTGCTGTGTCTTCCCCAGCCCTGCAGCCCCAGGTCCCAGCACAGCGTAGGCACAGACAGGCAGCACCAAAATCTGAGTGAGTAAGGCCTCTCCACGTGTCTCTGGTAATTTTGTCTTCCTTCTGTCCTGTGCATATTCCAAACCTCTCTGCTGAGGCCCCGGCCTTTACCTCTTTTTCAAGTTGCCCCTAAGACAACTTTGCCTCCAAATTCATGTAGCAAAGAGGCTACGAGCCTCTGAGGAACTTCCTCAGCAAATGGCTCCACATTGCCACCCCCCACCTCCTGAGGAGGAGAGGTGACGTCCTCTCCATCCTGTCCAAGACCAAGCCTTGTACGCTGAAGCCTGTCTCTGCCACCACCTCAGGTGGCATCACCATTCCTGACCTCTCTCCTCCCTACATTCACCCCTCCTCTAGTGACTCCCTTCAGCATATAAACATATTTGAGATTTCTCCCAGTTATAATCCTTTTGTTGAGCCCACCCCAACCTCTCATTACAGTCCCATTTATTTCCTTCCTTTCGTGGGGAAATTTCTTGCGAGTGAGGTCACTCTCTACATTTCCTTTCTTCTCTCATTCAGTCCTCAACCCACCTGGCTTTTCTCCCCAGATGCCAAATGTTGCTGAAGCCATTGGTGACCTCCCTGGACGTCAAATGTCATGGACTCTATCTTTTCTTTATTTTCTGGACTCTTTGTGGGATTTGACACTGTTAGTCACCCACTCAACATTTGAAATGCTCTCCACCTTTGACTTCCGGCCCTCCTCTCTCTGGGATCTCCTCAGCCTCCTCTGTCGGCACCTCCTCCTTTCCATGCCCTTGGACTGGTGTCCTCCCCTGGGGCATTCCTGTGGCCTGCTGTTCCTATGGCTCTTCATGCTCTCGTTGGGGGAAGTTACTTATCCATGGCTTCAACTTCTACTCATTCTTTAATGACACCAAATCTGTATTTATTACCCAGACCTTTCTCTTGAATTCCTCACTCAGAAATCCCATTACCAACTAGACCTCACCATCTCGATGTCTCACACTTCAAATTTTCAGCAAATCCAAACCAAATTCCTTTAGACACCAAGCTCAATGACACTGGATAGATAACTTGACAATAGACCCTACTTATATACACACACATTTAATGTGCTGCAGCAGAGGATTCTGACCCAGCGGGGAAGGGAAGAGTCTGTGAAAATGGTATTTGGGCTATTTGAAAACTAATCAGTTTAGCTTCTTACCTCATAGCATAAAATAAATTTCACCAATAAAAAAAATTAAAACAAAGATTCAAACCAGAAAATAGAAGACTTTTTCTGTGAACCTAAAAGTGCTCTAGAAAATACAGTCCATTTAAAAAAAAAAGGAAGAAAAATCTGTGTATATTTATCAAATCTCTGAAAAGACAAGAGATCTCTAAGTTTAAAAAACAATGGAGGAAATAAGAAAAGCATGTTCAGAATCAACAACATAGACATTTAACTTCCATATCTCATAGATAAACACATATTTATAAGTCAAATTAAAAGGCAAACATACTAGGAATATATTCAATAAATACATAAAGGATTAATCTCTTTAATGTAGAAAAAGTTCATACAAATGGGTAAGAAAAACACTAAGACCCCAGTAGTTAAATGGATAAAGAACATGAATAAACAAAAGAGGCAAATATAAACGGTCAGCTAATGAGAAAAACTGTTCAACCCCAGTATAACAAAGAAATCAAAATTAAACAAAGAGTTATCATTGCTTGCTTTGCAAACTAGCACAGACGTCTGCATTCACCTCCTAGCCGGGCTGTCTCCCTACACTCTGACTTGCCCTCTCCAGTCCACTCTGCACTGCAGTTCTAAGACACAAATCACACTGTGTCACTCCCCTGACTTAACATTCTTTTACAGGCTCCATGAGGGAAATCAAGAGGAAGCCCCACTAACATTGCCTGGCACACCTGCCAGCTTGCAGTCTGACCCCTTTCTAGCCTCATCTTCCAGCACTTCTCCCACACGCATCTAAGTTCCAGTCATATGGAACTTCTGTGGTGGTTTCCAGAACTATTTCACACCTTGGTGCCTTCATCTGTGCTGTTACCAGCCCTGGAAGACCAACCTTCATCCTTATCCTATTCCTTCAGGAAGCCTTCCCTGATGCTGCCCGTCTCCTCTGGATGTCCTTCTTCATGTTCCAGTTGCACCTCATTCCACTGTTGCAGCACTGAGCACACAATATCATGATCACTCACATACTTGTCTTTCCCCTTCACTGGACTATGAGCTCCTCGGGGGAGGGGACCATGTCTTAGTCATCTGTATAGTCCCAGCACTGTATGAATATGTATGCATGCACGAACAGATGGATGATGTAGAAGCAGAGCCATGAGCAGGATGAAGTGAGAGACAACTGAAAATGGGCCAGCTGAGGAGGGGCACCTTACCTCCTGAAGGGCATTCTGGGCTGCACAGTACCAAGCCCGACCCATGAGGGAGGCCTCTTTTCTAATCTGACAGAGGCAGGAAGCTCAGAATATATGTGAGTATCTGAGGGAAAAAGACAGGGCACTGGGGGCTGTTAAGAGTTGGGAGGCCCATGGGGCCGGCCCGGTCGTGCAGCAGTTAAGTGCCCATGTTCCACTTCAGCGGCCTGGGGTTCGCCAGTTCAGATCCCGGGTGTGGACATGTCACGGTTTGGCAAGCCATGCTGTGGTAGGCATCCCACATATAAAGTAGAGGAAGATGGGAATGGATGTTAGCTTAGGGCCAGTCTTCCTCAGCAAAAAGAGGAGGATTGGCAGCAGACGTTAGCTCAGGGATAATCTTCCTCAAAAAAAAAAAGAGTTGCGAGGCCTTTGGAAACTACTCCAGCTGATGTTACAGTAGTCCAAGGGGACTAGAGCCCTGGCTTCTAGTTCATCTTAGGTCCTAAGTTTTACAGAGTTTTCACTTCCCCTCTCCAGCCTCCAGGTATCTTTACTGTGAACAAACCCTTCCTGAGCCCTATCTGGATCCAGGTTTGTACTGAGTGATAAAAATCAAACTTCTGGGGCCGGCCCCCTGGCCGAGTGGTTAAGTTTGCGCGCTCTGCTTCAGCAGCCCAGGGTTTTGCCGGTTCGAATCCTGGGCGTAGACATGGCACTGCTCATCAGGCCATGCTGAGGCAGCATCCCACATGCCAGAACTAGAAGGACCCACAAATAAAAATACACAACTATGTACCGGGGGGCTTTTGGAGAAAAAGGAAAAATAAAATCTTTAAAAAAAAAAATCAAACTTCCTGCTGCTTGGCAAAAAGACGCTGGGCACTGGGACCAAATAAACTTAGTTCAAATCCTTACTCTATTAACTGACCTCTCTGAGCTTTGTTTTCCTTATCCGTAAAATGGCAATTGTAGTGAGATTTAAATGTGTTATTGTGAGAATTAAATAACATAGTATAGTGTCTTGCATAGGTTCTAGAACACAGCAAGTCAGGTGCTCCTCCCGTGATCTTCAGGAAGCCACATCCCTTCCTCCTGCCCTCACAGTTCGGGCTCTGGGATCCCACTCTTTTCCTATCTTCTCCACTGCCAACTCGCCTTCTCAGCTGGCTCAGCAAGATCCAGCCTGGGAGGCTCAGGCCCTCACTCTACCTAAGTTTTGTGAGGCTGGAGTGGTGAGATTGGAGGCCCTATAGGGGTCTGGAAAGGTTGTTGCCTATGAGGCCAGGAGTGATCCTATATTAACTATTCTTTTTTTTTTAATGCTTTTTGGTGAGGAAGATTGGCACTGAGCTAACCTCTGTTGCCAATCTTCCTCTTTTTTTTTTTCTCCCTAAAGCCCCAGGACATAGTTGTATATCCTAATTGTAGGTCATTCTAGTTCCTCTATGTGGGATACCACCACAGCATTGCTTGACGAGCAGTGTATAGGTCCACGCCCAGGATCTGAACCTGCGAACCCCAGGCTTTGAAGCAGAGCACAGGAATGTAACACTTGGCCATGGGGCAGGCCCCTATATTAACTATTCTTTTTTTCTGGAATCTTCCCTCCTTGACTCCTGTTACACTCTATTTTCTAGGGCTCCACTCAGCACTCCAACTGCTGTTTCTGGATTCTTCTCTGGCTCCCAGGGCTCTGACCTGGGTCTTTTGATCTGTTTACTTCCTAGGGTAATAAATTCATTTGCATGGCTTCAACACTTACCTCTACAGGAATAACCAACAATTCAATATCCTCACATTGTCCTATCATCCAAGTGCTAGTCCAGTATTGCCAACTGTCCACAGGATCCTTCATCCAAATGTTTTACTATCACCTTAATCTCAACCAAAATTCACATTCTGTCCTCAGTCCAAAGCAGCTCCTCCTCCTAACTTTCCAGCACCGGAGCTTCCATGCTAACAGTGTATACCACCTGAAGCTCATAATACTTTGCACTCTTCCTGCTCTTGTCGCTTGCTCTCAGATACAGGTGTAAAGCATAGGCTTTAGGCCAGCTTAATTTAGAAACTTTCAAATTCCAGCTCCACTACTTCCTAACTGTGTGACCTCAAGCAAGGTACTAGACCTCTCTGAGCCTCAGTTTCCATATCTGTAAAATGCAGATATTAAAAATCTACATCATAGTCTTATAGGGATTCAATTATATATACATATATATTATTTATGTGTACATATATATATTTAATAGCTATGATGGGATTAACACCTAATCGACATTCCATAAGTGGTTGCTGCATTGTTGTTACTAGTATTTCTACCTTTGAAACTTTACCACCTTAGTAGCGAAGATCTTCATCACCCCAGACCTGGATTCCTTCCACAATCTCCCACCTGACCTCCCTGCCTCCAGGCTCATCCTTGCCAGTCATTCTGCACTACTGTCACAAAGTTAATTTCCCTAAACAAACAGCTTTCAGTCTTAGCACACCCCTGATGAAAACCTACAAGGTTCCCCATTATCCTCAGGACAAAATCTCCATTCTTGGGTCAGCACTGCTAGCCTCCATGCCTGACTGGACTCCTGATCCCAGAAATTCCCCAATCCAATCTTCCCACTGTCCTACAAACACAGTATGTCTATTTCCTTTTGCCTATGTGGGCCTCTTCCCTGGAATATCACCCTTAAGCTTGACCTCATCAGCCCATTCTGACTTCTTCCCTTCTCTGATCCCTAGCACACACAAGGTGCTCAGCCAATACTTACTGGATTGAATTAAGGATAGATGGTTCTCTACCTCTATTTTCACCAAAGGTTTGTTCAGGGAAGGGGTGGGGAGTTAAAGCAGATCATTATTGAGAGGAGAATGACTAGGGAGAACAGCCTTCTGGGCCAAGGAGAGAACGCTGATGAAGACTGGGACTGACCAAGCTCCCATCCCCAGGGGGAAACAGGAAACCCTGTTTGAGCCAAGTTAAGATAGTGCTCATCCTGTCTTCTGGGACAGAGCAGCCAACCCAAGGAGCAAAGGGAGGGTAATAAACCTGTCCTCACTGATGGGAGGGAGCACGATTCTTTGAGCTGAGAAGGGGGGTGGCCCTTCTCAGGCCATCCCATGAACCCCATCCCAAGGGGCTACTAGAGATATGACTGTCATCCCTGCGGTCTATGGGGATGGAAAGAATATCCTCTCTGAGGTCAAGGGGAAAAAAGATGTCATTACAGGAGGCTCAATAGGGTGGGAGCAGTCCTATTCTTGCACCATTTCAGGGTCTATGGGGAAAGAGTGGCCTATCTCCCGTTCGCAGCAGGAGGGGGCTGCCAATTCTGAGGGCGAAAGAGAGAGAGAGGCCATCCTAAGAGGCCACTGGGGACAAAACCTGTTATTTCTCTCTCACCAGTGACAGCAGAGTGGTCTTGCTCCAGGTTAAGAAGAAAGAGCAAACATCCCATGGGATGAAGCAGGTAGGGGTGGCCATTTCAGGGGACGAAGAAGTAGGGAGCAGGCCTGTACTCCGTGAACGAACTCAAAGACCAGGCACGGAGTTGCTGGGGAGAGGGCATTCTGTCTCCCACCGCCAGGGGAAGGGGGCAGCCATCTCCTGGGGATGGAGCGACCATCCTAAGGGACCAATGGGGATAAGACGGATTACCCTTCGGGGACCATGGGATGGAACGGACATCTTCCAGAAATGAGGGGGAGGGGCGGCCATCTCAAGAGAAGGAGTTAGGCAGAGGGCCTGTCCTCTCTGAGGTGACAGAGCAATCATCTCCGGGGGCCGATGGGGAAGGAGAGGATGGTCCCTCAAGCTAAGGGGACGAAGTGGCCCAAAGGCGGGGCCGTTACCCATAACTTGCAGGTCTTGGGATCTCCCGGGCGAATCGTTTCCGCCAGAGTGGCGGGGACGGGCGAACTGTCTAACAATCCCTCCCCACAGCCCGGGACCCCGAGGGCGGGGCCTGTCCTGAGGTAGGCCTGAGGGGCTGCATCCTCTCACCTCCAGGGGCAGCGACTCCGCCATCGCATCCCTGCCGCCTCCGCCCCCGCGCAAAGCTTTCTGGGAAGTGTAGTCCCACCAACTCCTAAGGGCGGGGCTTGGGGAAGGAAGTGGACCTCCCACTTCCGTCCCATGTGTGACGTTTTGGGTTTGCACCGGAAGTGCCTGGGGGCTGTCGATGTGGTACCCGCTGACTGCGGTTTCGGTCGCTCTATCTTTTTTTCCCGGCTGGGTATTTGTGTTGCACCATGGCGGTAAGGAGGGCGGGTAGGGCGGGGTCCTCATCGGCAAAGCGCTCTCGGTGCCGGGAGACTGAAAACAGAGGAAGGACATCAAGGGAAGCGGGTCAGCCGGAGGGGAGCGCTATCCAGTGGCCAGACCCTGCTAGAGCGAGGCGGAGGGGAGTGGAGCGGCGCAGGACCGTACCAGAACTGGTGCCAGAGCGGGGTGGGCGTCAGTACTAGACAGTAACAAAGCTGGCCAGAGATCTGAGAGACCTGAGGTGGGAGGGCGTCAGCCTAGATTTGGGCTACTCCAGCAGAGGCCGGAGACGGGCGTCATTCATCGCCACTCAGGAGTCCCCCCAAAGCCTGACCTTACCAGGGGAGCTAGGAGATATCAGCCTGGTGTTGGATTGTTCCAGGGCGAACAAGAGGCGATCATGAGTTAGGGGTGCTGGAAAGATAGTGTCGGCCATAAGCAGAATGTACTGGAGGAGGGGTGGACTTCCCAAGGATTGTGCTAGGTTTGGGCACCTGGCAGAGGTGCAGATGGAACTCGGTAGCTAACCAGACTGGTGGGGAGGATGAGTAGGACCCTGGCTGAGCGGGGCTCTGACAGCATCTCACCATCCCTTTGCAGCCCAAGGGCAAAGTGGGCACGAGAGGAAAGAAGCAGATATTTGAAGAGAACAGAGAGACCCTGAAGTTCTATTTGCGGATCATATTAGGGGCCAATGTAAGTGCCTGTCTCCTTACTTCTATGCCCACCCAAGGTCCCACGGTCCTCAGCTCTGTTTGATGGTGGTGGTGGGGAGGGTGTATGTGACAACCAAGACTCCAGAAGAAAACTCCAATTAAGAAGAAATGAGAAAGGATCCTGGCACAGAGAGAAAGTGCTGAGTAGTAAAAACTAAAGAAAATAAAAACAAAAAAGAAATGAGGGTGTGAGTCCCAGGTAGGCTTGAAAGCGTTTCCCTTCCCAAATACACCAGGGCTTCTTTCCCGGGCTGGTGTGTCAGAGGGGAGTCTGGGTACTCAGGACTTGGAGAACAGACCCTTTCTTCCCCTAACCGTATAAGAAACAAGCTGTCCCCAGTTAGCCTGGCCTAACTCTTGGTCAGAGTCAAGGGAGGCTCATGGTTTAGGGATAGCTTTTGATCCCAGCCTGATCCTTTGTCTTCTTGCAGGCCATTTACTGTCTTGTGACCTTGGTCTTCTTCTACTCATCTGCCTCATTTTGGGCCTGGGTAAGTGTCCCCCGTCCTGGGAAGTGGACGAGCACATGGGATCAGTGGCTGGCCTTTAATACCCCCATTCTTATTTTGCAGATGGCCCTGGGCTTTAGTCTGGCAGTATATGGGGCCAGCTACCATTCTATGAGCTCGATGGCACGGGCGGCCTTCTCTGAGGATGGGGCCCTGATGGATGGTGGAATGGATCTCAACATGGAGCAGGGCATGGCAGAGTGAGTGTCCCCCGCTGCCAGCTCAGGTGAGCGGCCCCAGGGCTGGGGTGCTAGGGCCCAAATAGCCCAAGACCCACAGCTGCCTGCAACTTGAAGAGAGTGGATGAGAGCTGAACTGGGGCCCATCTACTCTTCGCCCCTTGCAGCTTCCCTTCTATCCACAGGCACCTTAAGGATGTCATCCTACTGACAGCCATCGTGCAGGTGCTCAGCTGCTTCTCCCTCTATGTCTGGTCCTTCTGGCTTCTGGTGCGTGGGTTGTGGGGCTCCCAAAAAGGGGCTGGGGCATCTAACCCTTCTCTTCTTTAACTTCCCGCACCTAGCTTCAAATTACCCTTTCTTTCCTAGGCTCCAGGCCGGGCCCTTTACCTCCTGTGGGTGAATGTGCTGGGCCCGTGGTTCACGGCAGACAGTGGCACCCCAGCACCAGAGCACAATGAGAAACGGCAGCGCCGACAGGAGCGGCGGCAGATGAAGCGGTTATAGCCACTAACATTGTGGCCACTGGTGGCTGGGCCCTGGGTGGCTCTGTCAGGCTGCATGGCCTCCATGCCAGGAGCAATGAGGGCCTAGTCCAGGGGCCAAAAGCAGTCTGGGGTATAGAATTGTTGAATAAATGGCTTAGAATGTGGCTAATGGCTGTGTGGGTGATGATGAGGTACGAGGCAGGAAGAGCTAGTTCTTGGGTATTTCCCTCATGCTATAGACTCAGCATAGTGGGTACCTTGAAAGAAGAAAACAGCTCTTGGATTAGCTAGGAAAATTTTATTATGCTCCATGCATTCAGGGAGCTCATACATGCATACACACACACACAAGCACACACAGCTAATACTGCTCCAGGCACTGACCCCTGGGCACAGAGTGGCCCTGGAGTTGAGAAGAGGCCCACACTTCTGCTCTGGTCCCTCCTCACTCTACAGTCTCTTGCACTGCAGACCGGGGCCCAGATAGATGTCCTGGAGGCAGCGCCTTCACACCTCCAGGTCAGAACCCTTGCTCAGTCCCAGTGCCTGCACCAGGTCCTCTCCGAGCCCGCTCTTCAATGTCCGCCTCACTGCAAGGAGAGAGCAAGGTTGGAGGGGGTTGATGGGGTTAAGGCAGCAGCAGGCGGGTGAGGAGTACTCACAAGACTTGCGGTTGCCACGGGAACGCTTGCGTTCTCGAGCAGCTAAGGCGCGAGGACTGCTCTTGGTCACTGACTGCACTAGCAGGTCCATGATCTCATCTGAAGTGTCACTGGGTAAACTGGAGCCTGGGGATTCTTCTGGGGGTACAGTGGAGGGCCCCACTGCTGTGGGCACGACTGGGGAGCTGTTCTGGACCATGCCTGAGGGAGGCCAGATAGGGAAGTCAGAGGTGGCCTAAGAGCCCATTGCCCCCAGTGGCCACAGATCCCACCTCTGCTGCGGCGACCATGTGTGGTGTCCTCAGGCTTGCTGGTGAGCAGAATCTTCATGCTGGCATGACTGTCAGCATCACCCCGGCCTGGCCCGCTGCCCACAGCCACTGGGACAGATGGGTTGCTGGGGGCTTCCCCAGCCACACCAGAAAACTTCTCTGTCTGGGGAGGAGAAAATGGTGAGCTGGAAGTAGGGGGAGGAAACCATGGGGGTAGCAGTCAAGACCTGGAAGGGGCACTGACCTCGGTGATCATGCGTCCCCGGGTCTTGTTGCGCTCACGGTATGTGGCCCGCTTCTGCTGCTGCTGCAGCACCCGTTCCCGGCAAGTCCGATACTCCAGTGCGAACTCCCGCAGCGTATGGCAGAACTGCATGATGCGCACTTCGCGAGCTGCCTGTGCAGTGTACCCCAGGTACAGCAGGAAGGCACGGAACCTAGGCAAGTTGGAGTGGGGAGGGATGGTGAGTCCTGCTTGGGGTTTGAGGGATGGTGGTGGTGTTCCTGCCTCTCTCTGGCCCATGTCCCCACCTGTTGCAGACACGGCGGTGCACTACCCGCAGCATGGCAACACGGCGGGCACACTGGGCCAGGAAGTGGGTGAGGCGGGCACGCAGGGCTGGGGCCAGCTCGTGCTTGGCCAAGCTCCGCAGACTCTCCTCAGCTGCCCGGCTCCGGCGCTCTAGCTGCCCCAGGTTCTCAGTCAGCTGCTCAAAGTCAACCTGGTAAAGCATTGGGTACACATGCTATCCCCCCCTGTAGAAAGACACTGCCTAAGGCTGCCTCTGTGCCAGGCTGGTCAGCCTGGGCCCTAGAGACACAGATAGCCAAGATTTGGCCCCTATCCTCCAAAAGCTCACAGTCTAACGCAAGAGACAGACAAATCCATTTGATGCAATGGGGAACAGAGGTTTCTTGGGGCAAGTGGTAGGTAAATTGAGACAAAGACTGAGTAGGTATAGCCAGGCCAATAGACAAAGGAGTGTTTCTGGCAGAGGACACAGCCCACACAAAGACCTGTAGCCAAGGAAGCCCTGCACAGCCGCCCAAATAGGGAGAAGGGGAAGAAGCCAGCCCCAGCAAGCCACCTCCCTCGTACCGTGGCCAGTCTTAGTCAGGTCTGGTGCTAACCTTGGCACAACGGGTCAGGGCAGGGATTTCTGAGTAGAGGTCGGAGGAATCAGGCCGGGTCTGGAGCACCAAGGAGCAGAGATGGTGCAGCAGTGACTGCCGGCGCACTGTGTCCTTCACCTCTGACACCTTCTCCAGGTAGCTCAGTTCAAAGCCGCTGCTCTGAAAGGACCCTGTCTGAGCCTAGGCCTGGCTACCTCAAGAGCCCTGGCCCCCAGCTCTCATGTGCTGTCACTCACCTGGGAGCCATTGAGGAAGTTGCCCACAGCCAGCAGGGTGGCCAGGATGCAGCGGAAGGTGGCATTTTGCACCAGCTGTTCCATACCCACTTTCAGATCAAATAGTGGTTCTGCAATTTCCTGGTATGGGAGACCAGGCACTCTCAGACTACATTGTCATCATTCTCACCTGCCCCCACTGCCTGTCCCACTCCATGACCCAGGTACCCGCTCCATGCTGTCATAGTCCAGCTTGAAGGCCCAGAGTTGTAGCCGAGCAGCCAGGGCCCCAATGGAGGCAAGAATCATCAGGAAATTCTCGGCTGGGCCCAGGGGTATGTCAGGATTGGCCAGATGGGCCTCCTCGATCTTCTGCCGCTCCTCATCCGTGGGCATCATGGTCAGTAGCTTCTAAGGATACAACCACCACCCCACAAAGGTCCCTCAGTGCTGGCCTGAGGCCTCAGGCATTGATTTTGACTCCTCCCTAGGTCATCTTGGGGATCCTCAGAGTCTGGGGACTGTTCTGAAAAAATGCCAAGCCCATGCCCACTACTGGAGGGACAGGAAATGCCCACTGACCAAAGGAGAGTGCTGGAGCTCCCACCTCCCTCTCACACCCCTAGCTGGGTATCCCCACCTCGATGCCTTCCTTGCTGACAGCAAACTCATCAAAATTGAGCAGGGCCGCCTTGATGACGTGCACAGGTGGCAGTGTGGTTAGGCCAATGTTGATGGCGTTGCTGCGCTTGGGATCCAGCACTGTGGTCATTGTCCGGCGGCCCTCACCAGCTTTCTTTGAGGTTGGGGGAAGGGCAATGCAAGATTGGGAAAGGTATTAGCTGGGGCAATAATTTAAGAGGACAGTCCAAGCCCCCCCAAATGGCCAAATGGTGGGGTCACCTCACAACTGGGGATCAGGGATGTGTAAGACCTTGGGATGAGCTTAGATTCTAGTTAGGGCTCTGCTGATGCCTTGTTGAGAGACCTCAGACAAGCCCCTATTCCTTTCTTTGCTTCGGTTTCCCTGTGTGGGAAACGAGTGGCAGCCCCAGGAGTTCAGACCCTTGAGCTGATTCCCTCCCTTCTCTAGATGAGGGTGTGTTTACCTTGGAAGGCAGCACGTCCTTGGCACGGGACTCGAACAGGTGTTCCAGCCGGGCTGTGTCCACTGAGACAGGCTCCAGTGAGGCCCACAGGGTGGGACAAGGACCAAAGTGGCTCTGAGAGCCTCCATGGCCCCCAGCCAGCTTTAGCTCCCGCCAGAAAAGTTTTACTGTCTTCCTCTTTGTGGGGAGGGCTAGGCCATCAGGTACTGAAGGAGGAGGAGGGGCAGCCAGGGGTGGAGGTGGTGGGAATGGGCTTTTGATGAGTAGGGGAGGTGGGGGTGGAGGAGGCGGGGGGCCTCCAGAGAGCAGAGGCACTGGGGGTGGTGGGGGCAGGACCCCTTTCCCAGCCTCCACAGACTCTGTGTTCAGCATGTCCTGGTCTTCATCCTCCCCCAGATCTGAGAAGTCCAGGTCCCCAATGCAGAGCTTGGGTATACGGATAGGGAATTCCCGGATGGGCTCAACCTTGGGGCTTGGTGAGGCCAGTGTCTCCTCGGGCTCTGGCTCAAGACTCTGCTGGGCCCGGAGTAGGACTCGGGGGGTAGGGCTCTGGGGTGTTCTGGGTGCAGGGGCTGGTTCTGGGGAGTCCCATAGTTTCCGGGTATCTAGAAGAAAGGAAGCAGCTGTCAGCATCATGCCCTCTGTGGGGCAACAGGGCAACACGTGTGGATTCTGCCCACCCACCTACTCACCTGGGTGCCTATCCACCTCATCAGGCATGGCCCCAGCCAGCGTCTCTGCCCGGCCCTGGGCCAGCGCAGCCTGCTTCTCTGTTTCCGCCGCTGCCACATTCTCCAGGAACCGGGCTCTGGGGGGAGGCACCTGTCAGTAAGGATGTCTGACATACCCCAGCCCAGGGTGGTGCACATGCCTTGCTGGGCCCCTGGGCACTGCCCCTAATTGCAGGCACACACAGACACACAGGGAACAGTCCATGCGCTCAGCAACCCAGGACCTGCTCCCCAAGGCAGCTCCTGTTCAGTCCTCCACAGCTGGGGAGGGTCACTTCCAACCCAGCACTCCCAGGTCAACACACAGGGAGAAGTTCTACTTAATACCTAACTTGCAACTTTGCTGCTGTTCTTGCTCACTATGCTTATTCTAGAAAAAGGCCCTTAAAGCAGGGGAAGGGGATAGCTGTCCCAATGGGCACACCAGGCTCTCCATCCCTTAGCACGTCTGGCAGCTTCTGAGAGCTATGGCCTATGGCCAGAAAGGGCCTGGTAAACAACAGGCACTCAGTTTATGCTGAAGTCATGAATGTGATCCACTGTCTCTTTTGTGGCCCCTCCAGCCTCTGTTGGCCCTCACTCCCTGGCCTTCCCTTAGCCCTAGGTTGCTCCTCTACCTCCACACCACACAGCACCCTAGATCCCCTCCTTGCCCTATTCCTGGGCTGAGGACATGGAGAATGGTTGGGAGTCCATGTCCTCATCTCTGGTTGAAGCTGTTAAAGTGTCACTATTGGAGCACAAGGACTACTAATACCCCAGTGAACTCAGTACTTGGGTAACTGAGGAGGCACAAGTCTGGGAGAGAAGGGGCCTGAGGGTTCCCCAGCTCTGGCTGCATCAGGCACGTGGAACCCCCGCTGGGGGAAGCAATGCTGAAGCCCTGAGCACATGGCAGGCCTGGCAGGCTGGCTTCTGTACTTACTCCAGCCTGGCCTGCCCAGTAGGGGACTGGGGGACAGGTGGGCTCTCAGGGGCCCTGGGTGGGGGGATGAGAGGAAGAAATGGTAATTGTGGTGCCTGCTCCGCCCCAAAGCCCAGTTGTT